GAAATAAACCACATATAAGCTGGACAGTGCAGTTTTAAAGGGTGTTCTTAGACCTTAAAATGGCTCTTGGAGGATTTCATGGTGTGTGAATTCAGCTCCAAAGTAGTATCATTGGTCCTTAGCTTGAGAACTGTGGGTTGCTGGCATTCTTGCCCACGGAACAGAACCAGCAGCAGCACCTACAGGATATCTGGATGAAGGGAAGTGAACTTTAATTTTAATCTTATAGGTTGGAGATCTCATCTATGGCCAGTGTGTGGTTGCTAATAAAGACATGGAACCAGAAATGGTCTGTATTGACAGCTGTGGACGGGCCAATGGAATGGGTGTGATTGGACAGGACGGTCTGCTCTTCAAAGTGACTTTGGGCTTAATTAGAAAGTAAGTTATGATACTTGTTAACTGCCTACTTTAATGAAATATTTAAAATACGTTTAATTCTTTGAGAATTTCATACAGTGTATTTTGTTGATCATTCTCACTCCCTATTCCTCCCTGTAACTTGTCCCAGATCCCTTTCCTACCTCCCTCCCCTCCCCACCCTACCCCCTAGGTCTGAGTTTGTATGCCTCCTGCCGCCCCCCCCCCCCCCCCCACTTTTTTTTTTCTATTTTGGTTTTTTGAGACAGGGTTTCTCTGTGTAGCTCTGGCTGTCTTGGAACTCACTATGTAGACCAGGCTGGCCTCGAACTCAGAGATCGGCCTACCTCTGCCTCCTGAGTGCTGGAATTAAAGGTGTGTGTCACCACTGCTCAAATTCTTCTTGTTATAGTTGTGTGTGCCCCTTTTTAAAAATGAATATGCCATTGAATCCAATCTGTGCTGCCCATACATTCCTAAGTGTGGGAGCATCCACTGCAGTGTGGTCCACCTACCATCAGCTGTATCCTTAGAGAAAACTGATTCTCTTCCCCTAGAAGCCATCTGCTGCTGTCCATAGTTCCTCAGTTAAGGATAGAGGCTCCCCTAATAATTATTATACCTGTGTTGAAAAAATAAATCTTTAGGATTTGGATTCTTCATTTACAAGATCTTGGTTTTCTTCAGAGTTAGTATTTTAGGCGGCTGGAGAGAAGACTCAGTGGTTAAAAGCACTAGCTACTCTTCCAGATGATCCGGGTTCAATTTCCAGCAACTACATGGAGGCTGACCACTAATTCCAGGGGATCCAGTGCCCACTTCTGGCCTCAGCAGGCACTGAGAACATGTGGTACACAGACATACATGGCAAAACCAACATAAACCAAAATATTTTAAAAAGATCAGTGTTTTAGCATATATATTTAAACTTGTGAATTTGGTTCTGCCCTCTTAATGTAAATATTCAAGTCCAGATGCTATTTGGCTATATGGTTTGAATGTTGGTATAGTGCCTCATGCGTGTGTGTGTGTGTGTGTGTGTGTGTGTGTGTGTGTGTGTGTGTGTGTAGTGCCTCATGGGTGCGCTCACTCTTGGGTGTTTTGCCTGCATGTGTATATGTGTACCTAGAACATGCCTGTTGCCCCTGGAGGCCAGAAGAGGGCATCAGATCCCCTGGAGCTGTAGTGACAGATGGTTGTGAGCCACCATGTGGGTGCTGGAAATTGAACCTGCTGCCTCTGGAAAAAGTCAGTGCTCTTAACCACCAAGCCAGCTCTGCAGCCCTTCTAGAGCCTTTTCTGATATGTCACACTTCAAGTTTATGCTGTCCTGTCCTTTCTTCTCTCTCAGAAGACCTCCTGCTCTTTATAACTAACATATACCATATGTGAAAACTGGTCTTTCCTTAATTCTAAGATACTTGAATACAGATGCAGTTTGCATTTGTATAGAATTACCAAGTGTTTGTAATATCAAATGCAGGCAGGGTGATGTGCTCATTAAGCTTGAGAGCCATGTAGAGATGGTTCCTGACACTGTCCTGGAAGATTTTACAATTCCCATTGGGGCAGATTGTGTTAGGGTATTTAGACAATCACCTACCCAGGCTGTGCCATATTAAAGGGTTGTACTTCTAAAGCCACTAAAGTTCAGAGCTACCTTCCTAGGTTTCTCCTTGCTATTTGTCCTTCACTTGTGGAAACTACGTTTGAGACATATAAGAAGCATGTTACTGACTGAGCAGCAACCTTGGTTTCATAGATAATACTCTGAATTTAATACCAGGGAGGAACTAAAATGGACAGGAAAGTAAATTTAAAATATTCTGTTGGCACTGTAGGTAATAATAATAAGCCAGGCAGTGTTGGCACACACCTTTAATCCCAGCACTCAGGAGGCAGAGGCAGGCGGGTCTCTGTGAATTTGAGGCCAGCCTGGTCTACAAAGTGAGTTCCAGGACAACTAAGGCAAACAAAGAAACCCTGTCTTGAAAAACAAAAACAAAAAAAGTAATAATAAGCTATGATCCCAAGTCTTAGAATTAAGGGGGGTTCAGGAGAAGAGACTTTATACATTTATGTGTTATGCAACATTGGTGACATGATTGTAAACTCTGGTATGCCTGAAAAGTAGAAGGTTCTTGGAAGAAAGGGGGCATTGAGCTGGGCACAGTGGCACATTATTGTAGTCCCAGCTACTTGGGAAGGGAGGATAGTTTTCAAACCTCCAAATCTGAGACTGGTTTAAGTGATCTAGCTAAACCTCATCTTCAGATAAAAAAGGGCTGGGGGAGGGTGGTACAGGAAAAGAGGCAGCAGATGGCATCATGTGCTTGTTTTGGGATGATGCTGAGGGGGCTTTGAATAACCACAGAGAACTACCCAGAAAAGGACTCTCCCTAGGAGAGCCACAACATACCCTACTGCTTTATTAAATTTGCTTTTGTTTTTCCTACAAGGCTATTAGCTCCAGATTGTGAAATTGTGCAGGAACTGGGAAAACTCTATCCGTTGGAGATTGTGTTTGGAATGAATGGAAGAATATGGGTCAAGGCAAAAACCATTCAGCAGACTTTAATTTTGGCGAATGTCTTAGAAGCTTGTGAACACATGACGACAGATCAAAGAAAACAGATCTTTGCCAGATTGGCAGAAAGTTGACACGAACATCTCTTTAATGGCTCATTTTAGTCAAGAGTGAGTTTCTTGGGGAAATCTTTTTTTTCAGGTGAACCTCTTTCTATCAGATCTTCAGAAGATGCATATTGTCTTTCTAGAATCCAATAAAATATTTTTATAAGAGTTACTGGTCTTTACTCATACATGTATAAGAAAATTGTGATTTTTTTTAAATATAAATTTGTATATAGTATTGTTTGAAGTTACCTCCCTTACTTCTCCTATAATACAGCTTCTATAATGAGCTGTAACTTAACATTAAAATTCTTTTGTTATAGTAGTAAAACTTGTTTGCCAGAGGTAAAACCTACCTGTAATCCCATAAGCCAGTGGAAGAGTATATAACGGCTCAATACATACTTACCTTGTTGAAAAGTTCCAAGTGTTTTACACCATTAGCTCATACCTGGTCACTGCAGAAGACACTAATCCTCATAGAGATACTGAAGCCAAGTGTAACATGGCTTAAAGCTTAACCACTGTGTATTGATGTTTTTCAAGTTGAAGTGACAGGATATTGTAACTTAACATACTCTACTTCAAAACCAGGATACTTTCAAGTTGAAGTGACAGGATATTGTAACTTAACATACTCTACTTCAAAACCAGGATACATTTCTTCCATAACTCCTACAAAAACTATAACAATTACAAGTATTTCACCTCATAATACAAGGTACTGTTATGTTTTCAGGTTTTTTTTTTTTTTTTTCTTAACAGTATGATGAGGATTTCTGATCTTAGTCTGGCCAAATGTTATTTAGCTAACATCAATTCCCATAATCGTAAACAGAACTACGTAAACAGAACTACGTGCTCAGGTTTTGGATAAAGAGGAGGGATTTGGACTTGCCTTGGAGAAAAAATTCTATGCTCTTTATGTTATGTTAAAGCCTCCAGAGATAACAAATATAGACTGGCAAGTGATAAAAGTTCAGTGGTTCTGGGTTTACAGGTCTCTGAAAATGAGTTATGCACCCCTGAAGCCTACGTGGCCAAGTCCCATCCAGTATGAGAACCATCCAGTATGCTGAAATCCTTAAGGGGTTTTCTGAGGCCTACCTATTTTTTAATAATAACATACAATTTATCAAGGGATAGTTCCCAAGGGATTCAATGGGAAAGGAGAAGGAAGTAGGCTGAGAGGTAACCTTTTGGTTCTTTTGAGATACAGAAAACATCTGAATTTGCTAGCAGCTTAACCTTCAAGTTAACCCAAAATGGGAGGAGTAACAGACAGCTGTATCTGAACATGAGAAGACTTCTGTCTGTAACAGATGGTAGATTAGTGTACTTGTGTGTCTGAATGCAGCATTCTTTTCTGGCTGCTTTATGCTGGATTTATCAATAATTTCCTTTTTGATTAGATCTGGGTACATATGTGTACAAAGCACTTGGTTTGTATGAGGTTCAGAAGGCTACACAAAACTGTTTATATAGACTAGAAGAGAGGAGCCCTCCATGACCATAATCAGAATGAGAAAAGTGAGAGCCACAGGAAAGAACCACGTGCTCTAAAGGCTTAAAGTAGGCCAGGCCAGGTTGGGCTAAGACAGCAAAGCTTATATGCAGCATCTGCCTGAGCTGTCGAAGAATCGGCACATTCACAGGTGAGAGGAAAGTAATTTATGAAGTTCAGTGAAAATCTCTGACAAACAGCTCTAAAAGTAGACTTTCATAAATAGATAAATGTACAAAACATGGATTAGCATCCAAAATGCCATGTACTTTGACAATTCCTTGATACATAAACTTTTTTTTAACAATATTATATTTTATCAGGGTATTTCCAAAGAGCCAGGCATTGTAGGTGACACAAAGCCTAAAACGTGGTCCTTGCCATTAAAGGCTTTCAAAGATCCACGGAAGCATGTAAGGGCAAGTGTGCCACTGCCACCCTTGGCCCTGTCCTTTGGTCAAGACACCTTTGGTCCTTTACACACTACAGCTGGAATCTTGGACTGCCCATCATTCCATTGCATTCCGAAGAATGTAGCCTTTTCCCGGAGAAACTCCTTTCTTCAATGCTTCAGGCCAGCTGTGAGTCTCAAAGTAAGTGGACAGGACATCAAACACTGTTGGAGGTAAACAGAAGGTGGTGGCCATTCAGGAGAAAAGACTAGTGAAGGACTAACTCGGAAGAGGGTGTCCTCCGATTATGTGGTGGTTAGGTCATGGGAAGAGAAGAAAGGACACAGCCCTGCCTACGTACAAGGACTCAACTTACTCTGAGGAGAGGCCTGTTAATAGGTAACACCGCAACAGAGGAATGCAGCACCATGGCAACACAGACAAGGGCCTGACGGGGGCTGCAGTGGGAGGAAAGGCCCCTGAGATGCTCCTGAACTGAAGCCTATAGAGCAAAGATGCCAGCCAATCAAAGTAGATGGCAGGGCCAGCATTCTAGGCAAAGGGGTACTGTCACCCAGGAACAAAGGAAATGAGAAACGCCTGCCAGCAAGTACATGAAGGAGCGTCTAGGTATATGAGTCACAGGAGACTGGATCATGGGGGCACTGTACTCAAGGCAGGTCCGAGAAAACAGTTAACAGTGCCGCCCACGAAAAAGGACTAGGAAATGGCCAGGAAGGAGGCATGTTGGGCTGGGCTGCGTGAGCAGTACCTTGATTGATGGCCAGCACTTCTGAATGGTAGTTTTTCTCATTCTGACGCCTGACCATGTATTCCTGGATCGGCAAGCGGGCTGTCTTCACAGAGTAGTCTCGAGCTTTTTGAAATGTCACCTTCTGTAAATCAAATTTTCTTATAAAATTACATGTGAAGATATTCACTGTAATAGGCACCGCCAATTTTGAGAATTTCTACACACTGCTACTTTTAGCTGGCAGAAAGATGAGAGAGAACAATGTATTCAAACTGCACATCTGAACAGCACTCTTCTTTACTGCCTCCGAGAGGTCATCTGCCCGTCTCAGGAGACTGTGACAAGGAGGACGGATGGTAAGCAGTAATCCTGCCTTTGCAGTAGAGCTCTTTCCCACTCCCAACTATTTATTTTAAAATATCTCAAATCTAGGAAATCTAAAAGAATCACTGAATTCATTCCTCACTTGTTAATTATAAATGAGATTCCTGTCATCTACATTCACCAGCTAACGTTATCAAATCTGTCTCAAAGTGAGCTACAGACATCTAACACTCCCTCTCTTAGTACTTAACCTTCCCCTGGAGAACAGTGGACTTCCCCTTTGACAGCACTTCGTTTTCATTTCTGAAAATCCTGTAAGATTATTAACACACAACCAGTACTAAAGTCTCCCCAGTGTCTCTTCTAAAGCTTTCCCCATAATCTATAATCCAGTCAAGGCGTCCATAGTACACTTGACAGGTTTTGTTTGTAAGAAGGGCTCAAGTGATTGCTGCAGACATGTCACTGTATCTAATGATGCTTTGTTTTCTTACATTCCTTTAAAACAGCTCCTGTTTGTTTCAGTAGCTATCACAGTGGCTTTTTGGAAAGTTCCATCGTCTTGCAGAATGTCCCATCCTAGATCTTGTTTCCTCATGATTGAATTTTAATTTTTCAAATTTTGAGCAAGAATACTTGACAGGGAAGAGTATTACACCAGGAGACATAGGATGTCAGTCCTGGTGATACTCAGTCTCATCAGATTTGGAGCTGATGATAACCAATGGCTTCATTGTAATGGTACATTTGGCCTTGGTACTCTGCCAGGGCACACTCTGAGATAGCTGGTAACGGCCTCACTTAACCTGCTGCCTGAATCAGCGACTACACTGGGAACACCAAACAGTGACTTTCTAATTCCTACATGCAGGCTTCTTCTGTAGGAGACCCCCTGCCCGTTTTCAGATTATTATTATGACACTATGGAACACTTAGGGGTTTTGTTTTGTTTTGTTTGAGACAGAGTTTCTCCAGGTAGCCCTGGCTGTCCCAGAACTCACGCTGTAGACCAGGCTGGCCTCGAACTCACAGAGATTCGCCTGCCTCTGCCTCCCAAGTGCTGGGATTAAATGCATGTGTGTGTCACCATGTCCGGCAGAATAGTTTTAAAACTAATGTACTTCATATTGGTGTGTCTCACACAAAATACTTCTACATACATGATAAACACATGTAAAATAGACCAACAAATGCACCTAAGAAAAGTGAACCATGGCGCCTTGAGAGTTGAGGGAAGGATACTTATTTCTCAATATGTTCCTTTTCGCAAATGTAAACTATTATATCATTATTCAACTTAAAAACAATGCAGTGTATGTTAATTAGTGAATATAAGCAAAAAACAATAATATTTGAATAACAGAAACAAAAATTAAAACTTCAGTAACAGCTTAATTATTCTAATAGGGGCTGGAGAAATGGCTCAGCGGTTAGTGCACTTGTTGTTCTTACGGAGGACCTGGGTTCGATTCCCAGTACCTACAGGCAGCTAACAATGATCTATAACTCTTGTTCCAGGGGATCTGATGCCCTCTTCTGACCAGGCATGCACATGGGGCACAGACATACATGTGAGCAAAACATTCATATATATAAAATAAAAAACTAATTTAAAGAAGAAGCCTGGACAATCCTACTGATTTGAGGTCCTGTGGGAATAAGACTCACATCAGCAAGAAAGTTAGTCCAGAAGAAGCTGACTAATCTCTCACAGAGAAGAAAGTGCAGAGAAAAATGCTGAGTCAAGATCAGAGTCAGTAAGAGAGGAGACAGGAAGCAGCAAATGGCGCTGTCTAAATCACCGAGTGTGTCTCTCTGACCTCTGAATCTGCTCCTGTCTGCTAAGACTGCTGACACAGCCGGCCGGCTGATGAGAAGAGGGACCTTCAGGCGGGAGAGGCACCTTAGGAACAAGCTCTTCTTGTTCCCATGCAGCTGCTAGGCCTTCTGGGTAAGATAACAACGGGGCAAATGCCTATCCTAGAAATGGGCTAAGATGTACACTTACCTTCTGAATGCTTTCATCTACAAGTCCACCAATGATGTAAACTGTGTTTTGATCAATGTCTTCAAGGGCTAATGGAAAAATGAAGGCCACTGAGATGAAATTTGTTTTATAATTTCTAAATCCAAAGAAAGCAAAAGGAAAGAAATACCACCAATATTAATACAACTAATACAACACAATGAAAAGCTAATCCTCGGAAGACAAAGCAGGCAGCCTGCAGGAGATCTGAAAAATGCATGTGGTGTGCTGAAAGCGACACCATGTTAGAGAGGAAACAAAACCAAACTACAGAGAAATGTGAGATAATATGACAGCACCATGACCACCTAATACTAGTCAGTGTGAAAATCATGTGAAACAGGATATTCTGGGGGTGTGTGTGAGTGTGTGTGTGTGTGTATTGTAGTTTATGTACATATACAAACCATATCTATATAAACAGTGATATAACACTGGCCCCACGTTGCTCAGGAAGCTGGACTGCCAGGCAGCACTCAGAGTCCAAATGAAGACGGAACTAGACTCTGAAGCATTGGTTATCTGCCCCCAAGAGAGGTCAGTTCATCCCCCAGTTTCTCCTCCCCCAACACTCTCTTGGATGGAGTAACAACAAATGTGCCACAGGAAATAATGAACCAAAGTGGAGGAACAAAGTAAGACATGAACCCACAAGGAAAAGGCACTTACCCTGTTCTGAGTCGGGAGTCAGGTACACAAGGGTCTCCAGAGGAAATAAACTAAAGCAGTCTTCTTCTGTTACATCTAGCTGGAAATACAGAGGTTATCGCACAAGTGGGATAGAGTTAAAACAGCACAGCGCACAACTCACACCGCTTACTGGACACCTAGTGTCTGTCAGGCCCAGCTCTGCTGTCCTGGGAGCTGCAGGTCTGAGGGCTTCATGCAAAGTGCTTATTAAACAAACAAATAGCACAGACATTTAAACCGCAGAAATGAGACAAAGTGGCCAGGGGCTCCCAGAGGACCACGGGGCATACACCAGCACTCAGGTGAGGCAGTACCACACTAGGGATGGCTCTCTGGTGGAAGGAACACTAGAGCCCGGTTTCTGGAAAGAGGTGAGACTGACACATGGGAAATCACCTCAGACGGCAGGAACACAGGACACAAGCACTGTGGGGTGTCCTTCTGTATGCTGTGAATATGTGTCTCTCTCACTGGTTGATAATAAAGCTGTTTTGGCCTATAGCCAGGCAGAATAAGGCTGGGCAGGAAAGCCAAACAGAGATACAGGGAGATGAAGAAGGGTGGAGTCAGAGAGATGACAGCTAGCCACTCAAGGAAGAAGATGCCAGAGAACGGGTAGGCCATGGACCACGTGGCAATAAATAGATTATTAGAAATGTGTTAATTTAAATGTAAGAGCTAGCTAGTAACAAGCTCAAGCTATTGGCCAAACATTTATAATTACTATAAGCCTTGGAGTGATTACTTGGAAGCAACTGTGGAGTGGGCCGTGTCAGAAAAGCCTCTGATTACACAAGAGAGGCCGGTGAAGCAGTAAAGGAGGCAGCTAGCCATGCAGTGCCACACGGCACATCTCACACCCATGGCCTCCGTGACTTCCCCAGGGAAGGCTACAATAACAGTCTTGGCTACACAGCAGCACAGAGGGGCATCTTTAGTGCCAATCCTTGAGACAGATTCGGATTCTCACTTGCATATCTGCTGCTACTTTTATGAGAACCTCAGCAAGGGATGGAAAGTCCTGTAGTTCTTCCCAAAACATCATAAAGCCACACTGCTTCCAAAAATAGCATTTCTCTTCCTCTAACAGCCATGTTTCCTACCTTTCCATGACTGGAGGATATGGGTTAGCACGAACTAGACAGGTTATAAAACACAGCCCTAGACACTGGGAATATCAGTTTGCCAATACAGAGCAAGAATGAGAAAAAATGTAATACAAGAAGTAATGCATGATTCTGAGGCTTTTTAGAGTGCAACAGTGAAAATATCATTTATATACAGACATTGCACTTGTCCTCAGCACCCATGGGGATTGGTTCTAAGATGGTCCCACAGACACCAAAATCTAAGCATGCTCAAGTTTCTTATATAAAAAGCCAGTGTTTACACGAGTTACATGCTCCTGAAGACTTTACATCATCTCAGACTGTCTTAATGCCCAGGACACATAAATAGTTCTTATGCTATACCTTTAGTTTCCCCTTGTTTTTGGAGACGGTGTCTCACAATGGCCTAGGACTCAGTAGGTGGTTCAGGCCAGCCTCAAACTTGACAGTCTCCTGCCTTAGCCTCTGAAGTGCTGGATTACAGGCATGAGCCACCACACCTGGTTATATTGTATTACAGAGGGAATAAATGGCAAGAAAAAAGTATCTATGTGTTCACTACAGATGTAATTTTTTTTCCAAATATTTTTTAAGACTCTGTTAAGGCGGATGAGACAGCTCAGTGGTTAAAGACAACAGCCACCAAGCCTGCCTTGAGTCCTGTCCCAGGACCCACATGGTGGGAAGGGAGAACCAACTCTCATTGTCCTCTGACCTCTACATTCATGCCATGGCATACACACATACACACACTAAATGGAAGATTAAATAAATGCAATAAAAATGCAGTTAAATGTGGGGATGTGGAAGCCACAGGTAGAGCAAGCAGCACATTCAAGACGAAGAAGCAAAACCTTTCCATTAGGACAGGAGCACTTTTAGATAATTCAGTAACATGTCAAATGATTCTTACCAAGTACGCAGAAAATCCATCATTCATCCTCAAACACTCTTCATAGAGGGGACTGTCAGTTGAGAATCCAGTGAGGCAGATCCAAAAGGGCCTGCTGGCTTTTTTGTTTGAACCATACAACCTTCGAAGCTGTCCCGCCAGCCTACTCAATTCCTGTAAAGCGATGAGGACAACTGAGCAGAAAGAACAATGACAGCTCTGCCAGCCTCGCAGGTGGAGTCCCACAGCACTAACTCCTGACGCTGCTCCACGGGACTCATCAACGAGCCTGGCCCCTCTGCCCAGGACCAGCACACGTAGAAGTGTTACACTCTACAACATCACACATACAGACAAGGTTAAGATAACGACACTAGCCCGGAAATACTTGTGAGTGCAAAAACTGAGAGTTCCTCCTGCTGACTCTGCGGCTGGGTATTTAAAGATATTTGGAAAGATTTCTTCTGCTTTTATCTAAGGTTTTTTATTATGTGATGTTCAATATTTAAATTATTAAAAAAGGTTAGAGTAGCAACACTTTCATGGTACATTTGGTAAAGGTTTTTATTATGTGATGTTCAATATTTAAATTATTAAAAAGGGTTAGAGTAGCAACACTTTCATGGTACATTTGGTAAAGTTTTTTATTATGTGATGTTCAATATTTAAATTATTAAAAAGAGTTAGAGTAGCAACACTTTCATGGTACATTTGGAACCATCACCCTAACTTTAAGAGATGCCAAAGTGTTGGAAGTTTTAATTTCCCTCCCTAATCCTAGAAAGTTGTTTCATAATCTAGCTTGATTTGTGCGATACTGAATAAAAGGCGTAACAGGCTTTGGGTTTGATTTAATCTGCTCTCCCAGTTAACATAAAGGGAGATTGCCTTGCCCACTTTCTGAATGCTTGTTTATGGCTGCTGCCTCTGCCTCCACAGTGCTGGGGTTAAAGGCGTGCACCGCCACATCCTGCCTCCTTGTTCACTTTTCAGAAGGCTACAGTTAGAGGTTCCACTGAGAGCCCTAGAGACGCAGTCCTCCTAGTTTCTCTGAGAAACACGTAACGTTAGTACACATAACGGTGATGTCTGAAATAAGATTCCCTATGGTGTAAGGCCAGTATCATGTGCTGGTTTGACTTCTGGCACAACTGAGATGACCTCAAAAGCCAAATTCAAGCTCCCCTGCCGCTCTGCCTTTCCAGATGAAACAAGTGCCCGAGCTAAAAAGCCTTCTTCATCGAGTAAACGAGGCACAGTTCCTGTTTATCGATATTTGGCCCCAGCAGCCCATGAGATCATGCAAACAAGCCAACCACATTGTCCTGTGGGACCCAGGGGACATCTCATCTTTGACACTACAAAGCCAGCCCATTGCTTTCTCTTCCCAAGCATAACCCTGTGTGGCTTTGTGTGGCTTGTCACATCCTCCTCCCTAGGCTGAGAGTCCAGGAGACTAATAGACTGCTGTCAATCTCATCTGTTCACTTTTCAGAAGGCTACAGTTAGAGGTTCCACTGAGAGCCCTAGAGACGCAGTCCTCCTAGTTTCTCTGAGAAACACGTAACATTAGTACACATAACGGTGATGTGTATATGTGATCATGTGCATATGCTCAGCCATCTCCAGAACCCCACAGGTAAGTCACTCCCTTGCTAAAGGAAATATTGAGAAATAACTAAAATGTAAACACTCCAAGAAGACTGCCCACCAGGAACCCTCCCCACAACATGCTGCCAAGCTAGTATTTCTCTTCCAAGCAGAAGGACAGAGATTTAGTGTCTGGAGAACTGAACCGGCAAGGGTCCATCCAGACTGAAAACATCAAGGCCAGAGTGGTAGGCTCCAAAGAGAAGAGAAACTGCAAAATAAACATACGCTCCTTTCCAACAGCCACTGTGGGACTCGCAGCCTAGAATAGAAAACCAGACACTTCTAGATTAGAAGAGAGCCACAGAAGCTGGCGATGGTCACCCACTTCACACAGGCTGCTCCCTTCCATGCCTCCCTCAGGCACTGAGTATTCTACCTTCTTTGACATGTGGTGAGTCATGCTCAAGTCAACACACAGTCTTGGTCCTGAGTGTTTGGCTTCCAAAAGTCTCTCTTTGGTTAAGGCTTTCAAAAAGCGTTTGCTGTGCTGGGGGCAGGTGCCTGCGACAGAAATACCAGAGAGGATTACGAGTGGGCTAGAACAGGGGCTGCGATCAACAATTAATAAATAAATGGGACCTCATCAAACCAAAAAGCCTCTGCGTGACAAAGGACAGTGTCATTCAGATACTGCAGCAGCTCCAGAATGGGAAAAGATTATTACCAATTACACATCTGATACAGAGCTAATATCCAAAGGATATAAAGAATTCAAAAAACTATGTATCAAGAAACCAAATAACCCAATTAAAAAATGGGATATAGATCTAAACAGAATTCTCAAAAGGGGAAACTCAAATGAGAAACAAAGAAATGTTCAACAACCTTAGCCATCAGAGAAATGCAAACCAAAACTACTTGGAGATTTCACCTTACACCATCAGAATGGCTAACATAAATAAATAAAACAAGCAACAGCTCATGCTGGCGAGGATGTGGCGTAAAGGGACACTTCTCCACTACTGGTGGGAGTATAAACTTGTGCAGTCACTATGGAAATCAGTGTGGTGGTTCCTCAGGAGTATGAAAATCAATATACACCAAGATCCAGCTTTACCACTTGAGCATACACCCAAGGATGCTCCATCCTCCCACAGAGACACTTGCTCAACAATGTTCACTGCTGCTCTATTCATAATAGCCAGAGAAAACAACCTAGACATCCCTCAACAGAAGAACAGATAAAGAAATTGTGAAACATTTACCCAATGGAGTATTACTTAGTAGTTAAAAAATTGATATCATGAAATTTGCAGGTAAATGATGGAACTAGAAAAAAATCATCCTGGGTGAAGTATTCGAGAACCAGAAAGACAAATATGTTATATATATTGCTTATGTGTGGATGTTAGCTGTTAAGTCAATGATAACCAAGCTCTAATCCATAGAGCCACAGAGGTTGGGTATAGATAAGGGACTATGGGGGACAGGTCTCCCTGGGAAAGGGAAATAGAATAGATAGCTATGGAGGGGCTGGAACAGGGGGATCAAGTGGGAGGGGAAGGAGAGAGGGGCACGAAAGGGGGAATAATGGAGAGAGCCAAAATGAAGGGCCATTTGAGGGGTAGTATGGAACCTAACACAGTAGAAGCTTCCTAAAATATATACATATATGAAGGTGATCTAATAAGGGGAGACAGAGTCCCAGCTGGTCATCTCTTGTTACCAAATGATTCTTCCAGTGCTGGGATTAGGTTACATCTAAATGAGTGGTTGGCCAAAGGCCCCATGGGTATCCCCAAACAACCTAGGCTGTTGTGGATTATTTGTACACTGTGTGAAGATGTGTTGCTGTGATTGCTATAATAAAATGTCCAGAGAGAAAACTCTGGGAAGAAGAAAGGCGGAGTCACCAACAAGATGGAGAGGAAACAGGAGGTGTAAGATGGAACAGAGGTAACACAAAGTGACAGAATGTAGATTAATATAAATGGGTTAGTTTAAGTTATAAGAGCTAGTTGAGACAAGCCTAAGCTAAAGGCCAAGCTTTCATAATTAATAATGAGTCTGTGATTCATTATTTGTGGGCTGGTGGGCCAAAGATAGTGTGACAAGAAAGCTTGCTACACCAGGACATTGCCAAAACTATATGTTGCTCTCCACAAACTGACAGCAAGTTCCCATTGCTGAAGACAACACCTACACAGCTCATTGAACATGGAGAAGTCCAGCTGGTGCCTACATGGAGCCTTCACCCCTACATTCCAGTATCTTTAGTATAGGAAGGCACTCTGTACGCTTCCAAAAGAGAAATGTAAACACCAAGCCAGTCACAAATCCTTTGATATACAATGGTGTTCTGACTGCAAAATATGCTAGGGCAATAGTGGCACAAAGCTTGTGGGAGTAACCAACCAATGTCTGACTTAAGGCCCATTCCATGAGATGGAACCTATATCAACACTGCTTGGGTGGCCAAGAACCAGAGACTAGATAGCGCAGGGACCTAGGGTAAAACCAAATGCTATTCGTCTAAAACAAACAAAAAAACCACAAGAACCAAAACAAAAAACAAAAAACAAAAAACAAAAACAAAAAATCCGAATACATAGCAATAAAATGATTCCTAATGATATTTTGCTATACTCATAGATCAGTGTCTTGCTCAGCCAGCATCAGAGAAGCTTCCTCCTGCAGCAGATGGGAACAAATATACAGACCCACAGCCAGACATAGTGCAGAGTAAGAGATGTTGAAATAATTAGCTCTAAGTAGGATATCTCCATCAAATCTCTCCCCTAAGGACTAGGGGGTCCCGGGGGAAGAGGAGGCAGGAAGAGGTTAAGAGCCAGAGGGAATGGAGGACACTAAGAAAACAAGGCCCTGTAACTCAGCATGATCACAGCTCATATGAAATCACAGAGGCTGAGGCAGCATGCACAGGGTTTGTACGGAGCTGCACCAGTTCCTCTGAGTACATATCTTCCAGTTTAGTGTTTTTATGGGATTCCTCTTGTGCCTTCTTTGGGCTCCTTTCCTTCTGTTTGTCTTGTCCAACTCCAGTGCGATAGTTTTTGTTTTATATTATTATATCTTATAATATAATATAACAGTGCTAAAAATTATAAATTATGCACTCACAGTTATCGTTACCTGGGTGTTCTGCACGTTTGACTTTTCTTCTTTCTTTTTCCTGCTTCCTTTTGCTCTTCTTCGAGGAGACTATCCTTTCCCAGTGTCTCTGTTTTCTCTGCACATTTTTCTTCCATTATCCAGAAAACAAAATCGTTTGAGAACTCCATAAGACTCAGAAAGGAAAATGGACATCAGAGTCACCTTTCTGCATTTACATATAGTTAGAGAGGAAAAAGGATGTCTGTCTTAAAAACAATCCTACTGGCTTGTGTTTAATTTTATCACTATGATTTCTTCGCTATTTTATTTTCATTGGTGAATATTCACTGTACACAGTGCGAGTTATTATTATTGTATGCATTGCTTGGTATCTGACTCAGGGCCATGCAAGGCAACAGTTCTCACTGAATAATACCTCTACCTAGGTTATAATTAGAGAGAACATCACCCCCACTGCACCATCATAATAGTAACTTTTCCAGGTTATAGAAAATCCATTTGGGACAGAATCTAAAGAATGGAGTTTGGAGACCCTGATCCTTTTAGAGGCATATCAAAATTTCCTTTAAATTTTTATTTACATTCTTAAGACTCAAATGAAAATGATACCTTAATCAAACTAGCAGGAGTGAATTTAACACTTAGAACACACAAAATTCATTCTCAACTCCTTTCATGTCCTGATCGACCCTTAGAACAGAGGTCTCTGGGACACTCATCACGCAAGCTCGCAGCACATACCGAGCTCCATGTCGCACTGTTTGCAGGGCAGACCTCTTCCTCTTGGTGCTCGCACTCCACATCCATCTGCAGAAGCTGGAAGCTCTCAGAGAGTCCATCTTCACCTCCGTCCTCTGGGAAACCTTCTTGTCCGGGCCACACCAGTGACTCTGTTCTCTGAGCACTCCTTTCCAACTTACAGTCCATGAGCTCTCGTCACTTACACAGCCAACTCCCTACATCCAAAAGTCAAATAGGGTTACTGTGTTAGCGATGAGCAGGTGTACAATACTGACCCAGACTGAACTAAGAAAAGCATGTTGCAGAGTGTTCCAGAGAGATAATTCAGCAAAGAGTGTTCAGCAATAAAGAAGCCAAATACACTTCTTGGATTACAAAGACTGGATACTTCCAAGCGATCGATACCTACCACAGAGAGCCAAGTTTTCCTCGTGTTCTTTGGAATGCACTGTGTCATTATGAGTCAGTTTTCAAATCAGTCCTTTAGCAAATACTTCTTAAGCATCGACCACATACAAGGTCCTGAGCTAGTAAAAAAGTATGGTAGATTCCTGGGGTTTGGTGACAAGGTCAGGACTTTTACTAAGCCTCACGTCCACCCTACATCTCAGTAGCATTACAGCAGAAAGCCAGTCACCACTGAGAATGCGTAACGTCCCTTCGAGGGCTGAGGTTGAAAAAATATGGAGAAGCACCGTAACTGTGGTGTTCAAACTCCCAAAACAGAGAGGTTGGTGATGCTTGTGCAAGCTGGCCTCGAACTCATAGTGATCCACTTGTCTTCACCTGAGTGCTGGAACTAGACATGTTCACCACCGTGCCCTGCTGGTTCAGGGCTTCTTAAACTTTGTCTACTTGTAACTCTTTCATCTGAGAACACATTTAAACTATCTTAATTCTTTATTATTATATGTATGTCCACGACATGTGTGCATTTGGTAGTGGGGTATCCATGGACAGAGTGTATCTGAAGAACAAAGGAAAACTGAGTGGAGTTAGTTCTCTCCTCCCTTTACACGGAATCTGAGGACCAAAATCAGGTTATCAGGCTTGTACAGCAAGGGCCTTGGCCTCCTGTGATGTCTTGCTGGCTTTCACCCAAGGAATTTTTATGCAAGTCTAGGTATATAGTATATACAAACATATTATATATATATAAAAGTCAAACAACTGATAATCACAAAGAAATTCATTTTAAAACAGTTCTTTGGTATACAAATACTTTTACCATTTACTAAAGATGAGAGCAAATTTTCATCCCAATGAGAGAGAGGTGCTTATTTATTTTCATATAAAGAATTCAATCTTGGCTGAATATCTGATACTGTAGGATAGAATGCTTCAGTGTTTTTTAAAATTGATTGATTTTTGATTCTGTAATTGTCAAAGCTGAGAATGCCACCTCACATAAATATGTGGTACAAAGTGGCAGAAGTATATATTTCAGAAATTGTTGGAAATTCTGTCCTAATCACAACCCAAAATTCAATTAATAGTTTTATAGTAAATATTTTATTTTTATTTTAAAAAATACGTGTATATCTGAGTGTGGGTTTCTGCATGTGTGTACAGTGCATGCAGAGCCCTAAGAGGGGACTGGGTTTCCTGGAATTGGAGTTGCAGATGGTTGTGAGCTACTGCTCAATTGGGTGCTGAGAACCAAACTTCAGTTGGCTGCAACAGCAGTACACACTCTTAATTGCTGGGTCGTCTCTCTAGCCACATAGTCAATAATTTTGTTTTTGTTGTTGTTTTGTTTATTTGAGACAGGGTTTCTCTGTGTAGCCCTGGCTATCCTAGAAATCACTGTGTAGACCAGGCTGGCCTTGAACTCAGATCCACCTGCCTCTGCTTCCCGGGTGCTGGGATTAAAGATGTGTGCCATCGCCGGGCGGTGGTGGCGCACGCCTTTAATCCCAGCACTCGGGAGGCAGAGCCAGGCGGATCTCTGTGAGTTCGAGGCCAGCCTGGGCTACCAAGTGAGTCCCAGGAAAGGCGCAAAGCTACACAGAGAAACCCTGTCTCGAAAAAACCAAAAAAAAAAAAAAAAAAAAAAAAAAAAAGATGTGTGCCACCACTGCCTGGCATTAATAATGTTTTAATGAAATTAAGTCAGCAACCCAAAAAGCGGTTTCTCTTTTATTTACAAATTGTATTTTATTCATTGTCATTATTACAGCATGTGTGCTGGTACGTGTGTGTCGTGTACACGTGGCAGAAGATAGCTACTGGGGGTCAGCCCTCAGTTTATCAGGGTGTCTGTGCTAACCCATCTCACTGGTCCCAAACGCTATTCTAACACAATCCAACCTAAAGATACCCTATCTGGAGCACCAGAGGGATGGCTCAGCAGTTAAGTGCACTGACTGCTCTTCCAGAGGACCCTGGTTCCATTCCCAGCACCCACATGACGGCTCACACCCATTCCAGTTCCAGGGAATCCAAACTCTCTTCTGGCTCTGAAGACACCAGGCACACACACAGTATACAGACATACATGCAGGCAAAACACTCATACACATTGAAAATATAAGATAGTTAAAAATGTATTTTAAAAAATACATTTTAGTACTCACATGCTAAAGAATGATAGCAGGAGAACAATGAGTCTGTTTCCCATAATTTAACCACATGTTCTGTAAGAACAGAGACTGTATGTACAGCAAAGACCCTGCAGTTCAGAACACAAGTCTCCTACGTGAGCCACATTAGTGGGCACTGTAGGGTGGGATGGGATGATCAGAGCAAAGGGAGCATGTTGTATGTTCAGAGTCAACCCAGCAGCAGTCACCTGGATTCATTACACTTTTGATTTAGAATTAATTTTTGGTCACTGTATGTTCAGAAACCTTTTACTGTTGCCAAATTGTTCATAAACCCCACAATGAGTGACACAACACTACATGAGGTTGTGACCCAAAGTTTAAGAAGTTAGATCTAGGCGGTTAGTGAGGTGTCATAAGCAAGAGTAGTGTGACCGCTGCCCACAGCTGGTCCTGGGTTGAGCCGTGCTTTCCGACTATTTTTGAAAGCTTTATCTTGACAATGTAAGTGTATGCAATGTGATTCCCACACATGGGAAAATGCCTGTTTGCAGTGAAAAGTCACGACCCTCACCATTTATCCCCTCAGCTCCTAGAGCAGGCTTTGATAATTACACAGCTGTTTTATGTGTGAGACCAGCCCCCACATTTATTTTACCCCAGGGACTCTTGAGGAGTGAGGGATAAGAGACTTAGATAGAAATAGAGAGGAGAGAAACAGAAACTCAGGATAGCCTCGGGTGGGCCTGGATCCTCTTTTTTTTTTTTTGGTTTTACAAGTCAGGGTTTCTCTGTGTAGTTTTCCTGGAACTCACTCTGTAGCCCAGGCTGGCCTCGAACTCACAGAAATCTGCCTGGCTCTGCCTCCCAAGAGCTGGGATTAAAGGCGTGCGCCACCACTGCCCAGCTGGGCCTGGATCCTTATCCACCGGCCCAGAGCTTTATTCCAAAGGGCTTTTTATAACAATGCCAAGGGGAGGGGCAAAAGACTTCCCCCTTACTAGATACAGCCAAGTGTAGGCCCTTCCAAACACCTGGTACTCAGGCCCATGGTCCATTTACCCTCTTATGCAGTCCTGCTGGGTACAGCCACTAGGAAACCTCGGTGGGCTCCAACAGTTTTTAGCACTTCTGGTAATAAATACAATGACCTGGAGTAATATGCTTACACCTTCCTTGATTTCTAATGTTTTTGAGCTTTGAATTTACCAAATCCAAGTGAAACATGGGAATTCAAATCACGTAACACAGTCTTTTAATATTTTTCGTCTTTTGAAATTTTTCTTTTTTGAGGTCTGGTGCTGGGGATTGAACCTTTGGCCTGTGTATTGTTAGGTAGGTGCTCTAACCACTAAACCATATCCTCAGCGCTTTCATTAGTGATACCGATCTTTAAATTTTACCTAAGGGTGATTTACAATATATAGAAAGTGCAGAAAATGATTTTTTGTTTTGTTTTGGTTTTGGTTTTTCGAGACAGGTTTCTCTGTGTAGCCTTGGCTGTCCTGGAACTTGCCTTGTAGACCAGGCTAACCTCAAACTCACAGAGATCTGCCTGCCTCTGCCTCCCAAGTGCTGGGATTAAAGATGTGTGCGACCCAAAACTGGATATCAACATGTAGAAGGCTGCAAATAGATCCATATCTATCACCGTGCACAAAACTTAAGTCCAGGTGGATCAAGGACCTCAACATAAATCCAGCTACTCTGAACCTGCTAGAAGAGAAAGTAGGAAGTAGCCTTGAACGCATTGGCATAGGAGACCACTTCCTAAATAGAACACCAGTAGCACAGACACTGAGAGAAACAATCAATCAATGGGACCTCTTGAAACTGAGAAGCTTTTGTAGAGCAAAGGATACGGTCAACAAGGCAAAGCGACAGCCTACAGAATGGGAAAAGATCTTCACCAACCCCACATCTGACAGAGGACTGATATCCAGAATATATAAGGAACTCAAGAAATTAGACATCAAAATGCTCAACAGTCCAATTAAGAAATGGGCTATAGAACTAAACAGAGAATTCTCAACAGAGGAAACTCAAATGGCCGAAAGACATTTAAGGAATTGCTTAACATCCCTAATCATCAGGGAAATGCAAATCAAAACAACTCTGAGATACCACCTTACGCCTGTCAGAATGGCTAAGATCAAAAACACTGAAGACACCTTATGCTGGAGAGGATGTGGAGCTAGGGGAACTCTCCTCCACTGCTGGTGGGAATGCAAGCTTGTACAACCACTTTGGAAATCAATATGGCGCTTTCTTAGAAAATTGGGAATCCATCTCCCCCAAGATCCAGCTATACCACTCTTGGGCATATACCCAAGGAATGCTCAACCACACCACAAGAGCACTTGTTCAGCTATGTTCATATCAGCATTGTTTGTAATAGCCAGAACATGGAAACAACCTAGATGCCCTTCAACTGAAGAATGGATAAACAAAATGTGGTACATATACACAATGGAATACTACTCAGCAGAGAAAAACAATGACATCATGAGGTTTGCAGACAAATGGATGGATCTAGAAAAAATCATCCTGAGTGAGGTAACCCAGACTCAGAAAGACAAACATGGTATGTACTCACTCATAGCAGGATACTAGATGTAGAACAAGGATGACTGGACTGCTACTCACATCACCAGGGAGGCTACCTGGAAAACAGGACCCCAAGAAAGACACGGGGATCGTCCAGTGACAGAGAAATGGAATGAGATCTACATGAACAGCCTGGACATGAGTGGGGGTAGTGAAGGGCGAGGGTTGAGGGAAAGAGAGCTTGGGGGAGCGGGAGATCCCAGCTGGATCAAGAACAGAGAGGGAGAACAAGGAATAGGAGACCATGGTAAATGAAGACCACGTGAGAATAGGAAGAAGCAAAGTGCTAGAGAGGCCCACAGAAATCCACAAAGATACCCCCACAACAGACTGCTGGCAATGGTCGAGATACAGCCCGAACTGACCTACTCTGGTGATGGGATGGCCAAACACTCTAATTGTCGTGCTAGAAACCTCATCCAACTACTGAGGGATCTGGATGCAGAGATCCATGACTAGGCCCCGGGTGGATCTCTGGGAGTCCAATTAGCGAGAATGAGGAGGGTTTATATGAGCGAGAATTGTTGAGACCAAGGTTGGATAAAGCACAGGGACAAATAGCCAAACGAACGGAAACACATGAACTATGAACCAATGGCTGAGGAGCCCCCAACTGGATCAGGCCCTCTGAATAGGTGAGACAGTTGATTGGTTTGATCTGTTTGGGAGGCATCCAGGCAGTGGGACTGGGTCCTGTGCTCATTGCATGAGTCGGCTGTTTGAAATCTGGGGTCTATGCAGGATCGCTTGGCTCAGCCTAGGAAGAGGGGACTGGACCTACCTGGACTGAGTCTACCAGGTTGATCTCAGTCTGCGGGGAAGGCTTTGCCCTGGAGGAGATGGGAATGGGGGGCGGGCTGGGGGGAAGGTGAGGGGGGCGGGAGGGGGGAGAACAAGGGAATCCGTGGCTGATATGTAGAACTGAATTGTATTGCAAAATAAAAATTAAAAAAAAAAAAAGGAAAAAAAAAAAAAGATGTGTGCCACCATGCCCAGCTGAAAATGCAAATATTTTAAGGATCCAGTTCAATGAATTCGTGTGTGTGTGCGTTTGTGTGTGTGATAAACAGTCTATGCTACCCACTGTTCTCATTAAGGGGAAATCAACGTCCTTCTTTCCTTTCCAAGCCAATTTCCATCCTATTCCCACTGCCTGCCAAATACAACTACTATTTCATCTTCTACGAGCACCGACCAGCATGTCTACTCTAGTGGGCTCCAAGTGCCCCTTTAGAGCCTTTTCCTACGGTGTTCCTGAGGGCACCCATTTTGTTGTATGCATCAGTACTTTGCTCCTTTTTACTGCAGAGGAGTATTACCCTGGATAGCCCAGCTGGTACTCAGTCAGACTCAAGGGGACCGCTATGTGGATAATCAGAGCTCCTTTACTGGAATTCCCCCCTTGCATCCTGCTCTACAAATTCCAGCCATTTCATCAGCCCTGAATAAGTCTCTGTTCCTTCTCCAGGGACACCACTGCATTCTGACAGAAAGCCAGGGCCAGAGGGCGCTCAGCTTGTTTCTTTTCCCTCCAGAAGTTCAGTCCTGTCCTGTCTACTCTTAAAGACTTGAAAAGAGCCTACTTGAGAATTTTGTTCAGTTTTATAATTTATTGTCTAAAAATACACCCAGTACTTATTCCTTCTGTTTTGACAATTGCCAAAAGTCATTTTTATTACTTTATAGAATATTTTTAAGCGAGGCTTGGTGGCACATGCTTGTAATCTCAGTACTCTAGGAAGGTGAGGCAAGGTCAGCCACAAGTCGGAGGCCAGCATTACACCTCTTAACTAAAAAAATCTTTTCTCAAGGCAAGTAACATAGTAGAGTGCTTGCCTACCATGCACAAAGCCCTGGATTCAGTCCCTGGTACTGCATAAACCAGTTGTGACCGCTCAGGTAACACTAGCACTAGGAAGGTAGAAAACAGGAGGATCAGAAGTTCAAGATCATCCTTGGCTACATACAAAGTTTGAGGCTAGTCTGAACTACCCAAGACCCTGTCTCAAAATAAGTAAATAAATTCATGAAACATATATTCATAGACAGCAACAGATATATGAGTACCTAAATGTTTGACAATTATACCTCCCTTCTGCCTAGAATCGGCAACATTTTCCATTTCACTTACAGTAATCCCGTATCTACACAGATCATTATGGGCTATCCCTTCTGTCAATTTTCCTTTTTCTAAAAGATTCCATTTATTTGTTTATTTTATTTTTATTTGATTGATTAATTGATAGGGTTTCACTATGCAGCCCTGGCTGGCCTGGAACTTGCTATGTAGACTAGGCTGGCCTCCAATTCACAGATCCACCTCACCTCTGCCTTCCAAGTGCTGGGGTTAAAGCCCTAAAATTTAATTTTATTTAAAAAAATTATGTATGTATGTGGCTATGTGTCCGTTAGTACATATGTCCACGGAAGTCAGAGGCATCGGATCCCCTGGAGCTGAAGTTACAGGCAGTCATGAATTGCCAGACATGGATGCTGAGTACCAAACTCTGCAAGGGTCCTCTGCAAGGGCCATCTTTCCTGCTAGCCCCTTCTCCATCGATTTTCTTTAGCTCTCTCCGGTCTACCTATCCCCAAGCATACGAAATATCCCTATGTCTTTGCATAAACCGTTCTCTCTACCCAGGATGCTCTTTCCTTAATCTCACACGTCCTCAGTTCACGCATACTTTCACTACCCAACACTACCTACTTATTTTTTTTTGGTCTGATTTTCCCACGCCCTTACAAAGTAAATGTTCCGTTTGCTCAGACTTTCTATAAATACTTTTTGTATTAACTCCGCCATCCCCACCTCCGACCTTATAGCCCAAGTCCCACCGGATGAGCACAAACGCCGTCGCTAAGTGTCCAATCATCCTCTGCTTGCACAGTCTCCCATTTTTTCATTCTGGGCAGTGGGGCCCCAAAGCTAACACCTGCAGCACAGAACACCTACCTAGACCCCGACCGCGGGCCGCAGGGAACGTGGGTCTCGGTGGCCGAACCAGGGCAGGCAAGACCCAGAAGCCCCAAGATTGTGGGTGCCGCGGCCTCAGAGTAGGACTCGGTAGTCTCTAGCCAACCGTCAAAACCAGTGTCGTCCGCCGCGCCCCCTCCTCCGCCTGTCCCCGCGTACCTGACAATTACACCTAGCGCAGAAGAGCGCGAACACAGTTGATCCCGCCTCCGAACCACTTCCGGTTCCTGATCAGCTTCGAATGGCATTCTGGGAGTTATAGTTTTCAATTTGGCAACTCAATAGAGGATGCCAGTAGGGGCTTCTGTAACTCTGGGTTACAGAAGTTAGCTGAGGGTGGCAGTTCCAGCTCCTCGCAGATCTTGCTTGCACAGCTCAAACAGGTGACCAGGAGCTTTCTGGCTAACTGGAAACTGCAAAATGGGGGTAAACCAAGCTTTAAACCACCTGCCTTGTCTTTTGTCATCATGAGGCCCTTATGGTTTCCTGGATTTCCCCTCAACCAAAAGGGACCATGACTTAACACAGCCCGTTCCTGAGCACAGAGTGCTCCCTCTGCCGCCAGGCTGTCCGAGTTAAAAACCCAGACAAGATTTAGTAGGCAAGAGTCTAGCGGCTGGCTACATCCTTCATGTATCTCCCTTCACATAGCAACCCAGAAACAGGCTTAGACACACGAAATGACTTTTCCTTTTTAAGATTTATTTTTGTTTATGTGTATGGATGTTTTACTTGCATATGGATGCTCACCTCTTGAGTGCCTGAGGTATTTGGGAAAGTCAGAAGAGGGTGTTGGATCCCCTGGGAACTGGAGTTACAGAGAGTTATGAGCAGCCATGTGAGTGCTGAGAACCAAGTCCAGGCCCTTTGCAAGAGCAGCCAGTGCTCTTAACTGCTGAGCCATCCCTCCAGCCCCCGACCCCAGCCTTGTGTTGATATAGACTACCTGCTACTTTCCGATTAACTCATGCAGTCCTAGGAGTTGCATTTTTAGAGAAACCCTACAACAAGTGAGCCTGAGTTCTCTCTCCCTCATGAACCCAAAGCCTGGTTGCATTCCTTCTTGGTGTACCGTTTTTTCCTCTGGTGTTTCTTTGCACAACTCCTCCCAATCCATACTTCAATCTGAGTAAAAACAAACAAAAAAACAGGGTCTTATTATGTAACCCAAACTGACCTCAAATTCACCATCCTCCTGCCTCAGTCTTATGAGTGCTGGATTATAGTTGTGTTCCACCATACCCAGTGCTTTTTTTTTTTTTTTCCAGTGCTCTGATTGTTAAAGGCTAACACGACATTCCTTTCTATACGACCCAGCTTTACCAAGTCTTCTCTGTTCACTGCTGGCTCTGGCTTCCCACTGCTTGCGGGTGTGCTTTGGTGCAGCTTGGAAAGTGGGTCAAATGGCCTTCAATGGCACTTTTAGAGCTGAAGTCAACCTCATAGGCAGCCATACTGAATGCCTCTCCACCCTCATGCTCTGGTGACACTCCACTTCTCTCAGGAATAGAGAAGACCTCCTAGCTGGTCTCGATGTTCTCTCCCTGCCTTCACTTCTGTATTCACCACCACCACCGCCGCCGCCACCGCCACTGCCACCACCACCACCATCAAGGATGCCTCAGCAGTTTCCAGAGGTACCTGGATGTGATAAAAATCCAACCCTATCCCCAATGCCTTGCACCACCTGATCTGTACTTTATCACTTCTAACTGCTCTGGTCTCTCCATGCTTTAAACACACCAATGGCATTTGTATACTCTATTCCCTCTCATTTTTTCACAGGTGGGTTTTTAAGACGATGATTAAAACATTTGTTTTTATTTATGTGACTATGTGTGCCTGTTATTCTGTGTGCCGTGTAAGCGCCCATAGAGGTCAGAAGAGGGTGACCAATCCCCAAGAACTGGCTGTTGTGAGCTGCCTGAGGTGGGTGCTGGGAATAGAACCCTGTTCCTCTGCAAGAGCAGCAAGTGCTCTTAACCACTGAGCCATCGCTCCATGCCCTGGTTCTTACTCTTTAAGCCTCAGCTTAAACAGTCTCTATTCAGAACAGCCTTTTCTGGTCACATTAGTTGAGTCTGGCTCATCTTATCTGTCTTGGCATCTTTTTATAAAATGTCACCTCTGTAAGCAATGCTGATCGATGGAAAGGGATCCTGGGAGTTGGGAGCCAAGGAATACAAGTCACTGTAAGCTTAGCCGCTTACATCCCTGCTCTAGGGAAATGTTTCCCCAATGTAACAACTCTGCTCTGGAGGGGGAAGGTTTCCTCGGAACAAAGTTGTAACAGTTCAGTTCAGATCCCCCAGAGCGTAACAACTCAGCTGGATAGGAGAAGGTTTGCCCAGCCAAAGTGTTACAGCCTTGCTCTGCTCTGCCCAGGCTCCCATCTCTGTTCCCGTGAAAGAAGGTCGCCACCCAAACCTCATACAAGAGATTTATTGGGAGGGAAAAATCCTGGAGGGTGGCTGCCTTCACCAGTGTGGAAAAGGGCAGCACCAAACTGACCAGGCGAAGGGCTTATATAGGGATTCTTAGGGGCGGAGTTTTTCCAGGGAGAAGATTTTCAGGGTGGGAATTGGTCAGATTTCAATCCCCTTGAGTTTGGACAAGCTCAGATTGACTGGATTTTGTACTCAGGGATTGATTGGTTTCGCCGATCAGTTGCTCAGGAGCAGATTTGGCTCTGGTTTCAGAGTCAAAGTATGTTTCTTTCACTGTCACTGGCTTTTTTTTTTTCCTTTTGGCTCTAGTTTTAGGGCCAGGGTGGGTTTCTTTGGCTGGCCCCTTTTCCCTATAAACTCCATGTCAGTAATTTTTGTCTTTCCTACTAATTAGAAGTCCCTTGAGAGCTGGGCATGGTGGCACGTGCCTTTAATCCCAGCACTAGGGAGGCAGAGGCAGGTGGATCTCTATAAATTCAAGGCCAGCCTGCTCTGCATATCTACATAGTGAGTTCCAGGACAGCCAGAGCCACATGGTAAAACCAAAATAATAATAATGATAATAATAATAATAGAAAGAGGAAAAAATAAAAAAAAAAAGAGCCCATGCTCACCATGCTCATGACTGATTTACCTGCTATCCCCACATAGGAGACTCTGGCTAACAGAATTATTTTGTCTTTCTTGACGTCTAAACCCTACAAAACCTCATGGCCTGACACATGGTACTCCACAAATACTTGCAGACACCCCAATCCTAATTAGTGCTGCCTCTTACAGAAAGCCTTCCCTGATGACTCCTCTCCAATGATTTCTTTCTCCTGACGTGTCTCACGCTCTTCGGTGACCCAGAGCTTTGTCCTTCTCCATCTCCAGGAGTCACTCAACCTCCATCACGAACTCTTGAAGAGGATTCTCACCTCGCCTGCCTCATGTATGGAGTGTATCAAAGAAAGTACCAGATAGAATGCCTTCCCTGTGCTGTAGCTCCTCAATGAACACCAGAAGTTTCCTATCATTCCTGGGCCTTACTCTTCCTCATGGGAACCACAGAGAAAAAGACTAGCAGCAAAAGAAAGGCAGAGACTCGTCACTGAATGCCTCAGCTGCAGGCCTCGGGCTTCTTCCTCCCTTCTGTAACTATTTCTCACAAAACTGCTAAACATGTGTAACAACGTGAAAATGTTATATTTTAAAAGTATTCAAACCGTCTCCATAAGGCTTCTGGCATGCTTTTAGGTTCTAGTTAACTGGACACAAATATGGTTCAGGTCAGTCAGGATCCAGCCCTGAGTGAAGTCTCACGGGTGAATGTGAAGCTCCTGTCCACAGAAATAAGCTATTTTGATCTCCTTAGCAAAAGTTCCAGGTCTTGTTTCACACCATGCAACTTGGTTTCTAGCCTGGTGTCCTGTTACTTTTCAGTCATGAAATCACTTCAAAGGTGCAGTCAAGACTTTAAAGTTGGACTAGAGTGGTGGCTTAGAGGTTAAGAGCACTGGCTACTCTTCCAGAAGTCCTGAGTTCAATTCCCAGCAACCATATGGTGGATCACAACCACCTGTAATGAGATTTGGTGCCCTCTTCATGCATGCAGGAAGAACACTGTATACATAATAAATAAATCTTTTTTTTAAAAAAAAGAGTTTAAAGTTTATTTGAAGCTTTATAAGAAAGGCTGTTCCAAGGAAACTAATTCTCTCCCAACACACGCACTGATGAACTATGTACTAGTGACAAATAGGTGGCAGTGGGGGGAAGGGACATGTGTCCTCTCATTGTCCAAGTGTGGTTTCCCACTCTGCCTGGAGAGAGCTTAGGCTGTGACTGACTCATCCCTGATCCTGCATTTGCTGGCCAAAGCGAGGACTTAGGGTGCCTAATGGGGTAGAGCATTGACCTCACAGCGTGTCAGTATAATGGGGTAGAGCATTGACCTCACAGCGTGTCAGTAAGAGGAGGAAAAACGGACCTCTCTGATGACCTCTGATGGCCCAGAGTAAGCCACCAAACCACACTTGACCAGACAAGAAAAGCCAGAACAAAAGGTGTCCCAAAGAAACCTTGTCTGGGTTGGGAAAACAATGTATGTGGCGGACTTTCAGACTAGGAGAAACACGGAGCATTCTGTTACCAACACTTACAATTTACTATATTGTTTCCGAGATTTATGCCCTATCAATGGACAATGAGTCTCCTCGTGTGCAAGAGAGAAAAACTCCAAACAAGAAGAGTTTAAGCAGCTTGTCCACATCCGTGTTGGGTAAGTAGGATGAACTTGACCAGCAGAAGCCAGTGAGGAAAGCAGTGATTATATTTCTTCTGCCCTAATATTAGTCCAATAATGAAAAATGTGATTCCTGGATTTAGTGTTTGCCTTATAATATTAAACACAGAAACATAGTGCAAGTGTCAGGGGTTCAGTTTCAGATAAGGCAGAGAATACCGCTGCCCATGGGTGACCAAGCAGCTCGGGAATTTACTGCCACCTAGTGGCAGCCGCGAGGCAACCAAGACTAAATATCATCAGGTCCAGGCGCTGATTTGAAGGGTCCAATCTACCAATAACACATGTATCCACCTGTTTGTGAAGGTTAGTGCCAAATTAATGTAACAGGGGAATCAAGACTATTTTCCAGCAATTCCTGAGTTCTTGGGACAAAATCTGAGACTTTCTGCCTGATACCTGTTGGTTGGATGGACATTTATTCATCTATACCCTAGCACAACCTGATCAGAGAAGAAAAGGCTTGTGTCATACAACCTGTTATTTCTCAAGTTCCTGTTACAGGCCTGGTGCAAAGGAAGTGAATGTCTGTTGAATGAATATGAGTGAACCTAGTTTTATTTTGGGGGGGGGGCGTTTTGAGACAGGTTTTCTCTGTGTAGCCCTAGCTGTACTGGAACTCTCTCTGTAGCCCAGGCTAGCCTTAAACTCACAGGGAACTTCCTGCCTCTGCCTCCCGAGTGCTGAGCTTAAAGGCACGCAACCCCACTGCCCAGGTGGAGTGAACATTTTTAATCCGAATTTATCCACTCAGAACAAGACAGGCTAGGATTAAGCAGCAGTTTATTCGAATACTCTATATAGTAAACATTTGAAGGGGGTGGGTGGAGAACTAGACGAGGCTTCTTGGAGAACTTTCCAGGCAGGGTAAAGGAGCCCTGGGTAAGTGACCTGTTCACAGAGCAGTGGATGCCCGGAACTTCTGGGTCAAACAGAACACGGCAGCTGTGAGGGCTGTGCATTGGCGAGCCAAGAGTTTCACACTGAGGTCCTGGTAGCCTCTCTCACAGGTCAGTTTTGCGGCCTCCACAAACTGGTGGTAGGTATATACCACGTCCCTCAGGTTCCCGGCCACCTCCTTGTGCCGGGTGGAGCAGCGGCTGCAGTCTGTAAACTGGAAGCAGAGGCCAGCCAGCTGGACCAGGTGCTGGAAGGTGACGCGCACAGCACTCTGCATCTCCTCGGGGGATTGGTCCATTCTGATCACATGCTGACAGCTGGAGAGCAGCTTCTGGGAGCCCATGCACAGGCGGCTCCGGCTTTCTGAAAAGTGCCAGGTGCACTTCTCAGTGGGGTGTTTGTTCCCAACCCCCCAGGAAGCTTCTAGAATGTCCTGTAGCTCCAGCAGGCTCTCCGTGAGTTGGACAAAGCCCTCCGGGGCACTTGCAGGGGCAGTTTTCAGCTGTCTCAGAGCCCTGGTGCAGTACTCTGGCCATATGTGGCTCTTCCTGGACAGGGGTGTGGTGCAGCTGTAGGCACGGGCTGGCCTCCAGGGCAGAGTCACCTGGGTTCCTGCAGAGGGTGGTGAGGTAAGGGGGGCCACAGGGTGTGTCTGTGGGTCCCCATCTTCCTCCTCTGTCTCTGGCTGCAGGCCTCGAAAGCACGCGGCATAGGAGAAGTGGCATCTGCAATGTTCCAGGCCAATCCCGGCAGGCACCACGTCGTTCATGCCAGCGAAACCCAAGGAGGTGGCCTTGCCAAGACTTGGGGAGCCTTCAGGATGGCTCTCTGGGGCAAAACACAGGAAAGACCTCTCAGGCGGAAGGCAGATGATCGGACTGTCACCTTTGCTTTCTGATGGTGAGCCGTGGCCTGAATCTGCCGAGCGGGGCTCCTCTTGACATGGTGGAAGCTTTGGCAGGGAAGGTACTGTATGGACACAGACTTGCGGAGGAGTGTCCACAGGGTCTGTGTCTTCCCCCATCACATGGTTAAGCTGCTCTGCCTTGACCCTCTCTGGAGGGAAGGCTGATGGAGCGGTCTGCCCCCCAAGTAAGAAATCAGGGCCCAAGTCCAATTCTGCCAACAGCTCCTGTTCTTGGCCCACGGCTTCTCTCTGTTTCCCTTGGGAGTCTTTGAGGGAGAAGGACAGGGTCTGTTCTGTCCATGTTCCAGGAGCCTCTGAAGGGAGGGAGCCCATTATTTCATCAGCTGGAGCGTTAACATCAAGAGCTGGTGAAACGTTATCTGAGCCCTCCTCAAATTCCTCCTGAAATAAGTTGGGTCCATTTTTGTATGTAACTTCACTGTCACTTCCCAAAGACAGCTGTCCTTGTTGCCCCTCTTCTGAAGCAAAGGCAGTCCCTTCTGAACTCACGCCACACTCACCATGGGTTGTCCCATCTCCAGGAGACAAGGACCCTGTGAATCTGGGGGTACCCTGTTGTATATGATTCACTAAAAAAGATTCCGATTCCATTTCTGATTGGACCCCTTCCGGCTCTGATGTGTCTCCTTGAGGGAGAGGATGTGGCCCTGGGCTGTCTGGATTAGGGTTAGCACCAGAGAGAGGGAAGGTGCTATCCTCAGGCTCTGGGGCGAGTTCTTTGGGGGTAGTACCATCTAGGTCTTGAAATGGGGATAAGATTTGGAAAGGCCTGATCTGAGCGGCCTGTGGGCTGGATGAATCTGGGTTCGAATTGTGAGGGTTCTGGGGGGTGCTTGCTGAGGAGCTGTCGATGGCGACAGCCAACGGAGTAGTCCCCAGATTCTCTGTATTGCCGGGGTCAATTCGGAGGCGAATGGCAGAGATAGAAGACACACGGGAGTCAACGACTGACTTGGTTTCCATGGTCTCTGGCTCCATCTCCATGATCCTGGAGGCTGGATTTTTGCTCTTTGTCTCCCTCAGGGAAGCCAGCAACCCCAAGGCCTTGGTCTCCAGGAGGCCTGGCTCCCCTTGCACGTCCTGCCAGGAGGACACAGTTGGGGAAGGGGCAGCGAGTTTCAGGTAGGGCTCTCTGTCATAGTAGCACACGTCATCCATGTTCTCCTGGGAGGCTGATGGCTCCAGGGGGAAGGAGACCTGGGAGGTGTGGTCTGTCTGTAGGAAGGACCTTCTTTTCCTCAGTGTCTTGGCGTACTTCTTCACCCCTCCCCGCCTGCTTGGCTCTCCTCCCTCTGGTCCTGGATGCAGGCTTTCCTCGGAGCCACGGGTTCTAGACTGACTCTGCAATCTCTCGGCACTAAGATCGGCAGCTCTGGGCCCTGCAAGTCAAGACAAGGAAAAATCACATTAAGCGCAGAGAAGGAGAGAGGTTGTCCATGCTTGGGCAAGCATGGAGGCTTGCCTGGACTGAAGATCTAAACCTTGGACAAGTTAAGATTTCATTGCCTCAGTCTCCTCATCTGAAAGATGGGAATAAGGATTACAGTAGACATTTCTTACGTTACTTGTCCAAGACCCATTTACTACCTTTAGTCACGGTACCTCAAGTTTCTTTTCAGGAGATGACATCTCGTGCACTCTGGTAGAGACTGGCCGTGCTAGAGATCAAACCTAGACCCTACGCATGCTGGACAAGCACTCTAACACTTATGTTCTCAAACAACGGAATATTAATTTACAGTTCCGAAGATGAGATTCATAGTCCAGGCAGTCAGCAAAACTATCCAGAACTTCAAATACACAAATACATACCACACACACACCACATACACCCACACCACACGCACCCCACCCACACACACATAAACATTTTTTTTTTTTTTTGGTTTTTTTGAGACAGGGTTTCTCTGTGTAGCTTTGCGCCTTTCCTGGAACTTTGGAGACCAGGCTGGCCTCGAACTCACAGAGATCCACCTGCCTCTGCCTCCCGAGTGCTGGGATTAAAGGCGTGCACCACCACCGCCCGGCTCACATAAACATTTTTAAAGGGTGTTAGAGAGATGGCTCAGTAGTTAAGAGCATTGGCTGCTCTTCCAGAGGACTTGGGTTCTATTCCCAGAATTCCCATGGCGACTCACAACCATCTGTAACTCCAGTTCCAGGGGATCTGACACCCTTTTCTGGCCCCCATAGGCACAGCACACACACAGTACACAGACATATATGCAGGAAAAACACCCATACACATAAAACTAATTTAAAATTAAGAAAAAAACTAAAACCGTGTGTGATGGATGGTACATGTCTATAATCTCATCACTCAGGAGGCCTGAGAAGTTTAAGGTCAGCCTAGGCTATATACTTGAGTTTCTAGCCAGCCTGGGCTACATCTCCAGACTGTAACTCAATAACTGTTAATAGTAGCAAGAAGTCATTTTTGCGGCCACAGTACCCTGACAAGAATGCCATTGAATTCTGCTGCAAACACTTCTAGCCTGGCTGCCAGCCATGCCTGAACCCCGGTCTTCGGACTTGCTGGAAATCCCCAGGCTCTTTGCTCTTCAAGCTTTTCTGCATGATGTTAACTCATGCCCACAGCTGCTGCTGCTTCTGTTGCTACTTTTATGTTGCATGTGAAGGGGGTGAAGGTGCTTTCTTTGGACAAACAGGGACCCTGATCATCAGTCAGTCATGAGGGTTCACACATGCTAGGATGATCTTTCTCAGGAGCAGCAGTATGTGAAAAGGTCTTGGGATTTGGGCAGAAGAAATCAGGATTGCATGTTAGCAGGGACTTGGAGGCATGTTAGACACTCAGACCAAACATCCCCAACCTGCTTGCGTGGTACTGAAATGACCAAATTCTAGGCCACCCCTCAGACCTCCAAGGTCAGAACTGCTGAGGTTAAATCTGAGGAACTGACAGACTTTAAACAAGGTTCCTTGGGTGATTCTGATGGGCTGCTATGTTTGGGAGTTGCTGTCTTGTTGACCAATACCCTCTGATGGCGCTCACAGTGAGTCGTGAGCTAGACTGAAACCCAGGCACAAGAGTCCCAGTTCTAGTGTGCTTAGCACACTGACCCCTCCCTGTGAAAAGGTGCCTCACATGGACCTGAATTTGGACTAGGTCCCCATAAGAGTCCCATCTGCCAGTCTCAGCTGCACCCCTCATCCTGCTGCTAGTATAAGGGCTAGCTCAGCAGGGCAGAGTTGGGGTCAGGGAGAGCCCCGGAAGAGGTTAGCCAGGTTCTTGTGGAGTGGAGTGCAGCATACCCTTTGCTGTTCTGTTCCCATGGTCTACAGAGTGAGCTCCAGGACAGCCACAATCACACAGTGAGGCAACAACAGGAAAAACCAAAATCAGCCCCCAACAAACGAAGAAATGAAACCAAGTCAACAGAGGTGGTATGAGCTCACTCATTCATGTAGTGACGATGCCCAGGTGCTGTGTGCACTCAGGGAGCCTTTACACAACGACAGTGTACAACTAGAGGCAGCACCAAGGGACAGGCACAAAGCCGCCGCCGCCCCCGGAACAACCTGTGACTGAGATGAGCAGCTGGCCCTGGTCTGGTAAACCGGCAAAACGTCCCCTGCAGAATGGAGCCCTCAGCGGAGACTAGATGGTTGATGGGCACCAGCAGCTGAGGCTCAGGGCAGACGCAGTAGCATATACCAAGGTCTGCTAAGATACAGGGCAAGGGGGTGGGGACAGGCAGGCAGAAGCCACCACAGAGAGCCTCACAGGGTGCCCTCAGGAGCTGAGCTGGCGTTTCTGTCCAGAGCAACCACAAGAGGGCAGTATTAGAGAGGCACAGGAGAGGGCTGGGCCCAGCCATGTCTGCCAGCTTTTAACCTCAGAGTGGGGAGACAGTGTAAGAGAGTATGTGTGAGTGTGTGCACATATGTGTGTCTTGCGAGATTTTCCGGTTAGCTCGGCAAGTCTTCCTTTGTAGAAAGACTTTACAGTGGTGTTTTGTTTGTATGAGATGGCATATCGTGGATCGTAGGTTAAATTTTCACAATCTTTTTTGGAGATATATGAGGAACCCAGCCAACAGATCCCGACCCGATGTCAGGAACCACTGGACTCCCAAAGGCCATCAGACACCAATGATGCTATTTTGTTGCTTCCAGGATCCGCAGTGGCACAGTGACCCTCTCAACTGGGCACTCCATTCCTTTACTGCGTGTTCTGTCCACCTGACGAGGCCCAGCCCACTCGACACATCTTCTGGGAAGCCTTCCCTGGTTCCCACAGTGGGATGAATTCCTCTCATCTCCCCTTGCTCACAATTCTCCAAACCTCCCTTGCAGTCCTGACTCAAGGCCAGGATGCTTGTAATTTGGTCCACGGGAATCCAGGGTGGCCTCCTCAAGAGTAGACAAAGCCTTCATATCCTGCTCTCAAGCCGGCCCTGGGCTCTTGGAAGCTAGCTAAGGGCATTATAGATCTGCTGGGATGGGGGACGGGGCTCACCTGAGAGTGTGTCTGGGGGTGTGAGCTTGTCCGCTGCATCATAGTATTCCTCATCTGAGCTGCCGTCCTCAAAGGCCGGCAGTGGCAGTGGGTGCAGGGCCAGGGTTTCCAGCATGGAGCCAGGCTGAGCCTCCATCCAGCCCTGCTGGCACCACGGTGGTGGCGGTGGCGGTGGCGGTGCCGCTCCCTGCCGCGAAGCTGTGCTCCCTGAGCTGTCACTCAGGTGGCTGCCTGGGGAGATGCTGGAACACAGGCTGTAGTAGTCAGTCCGGCTGCCCTCATACAACCTGGGGTCTAGCCTGCCCATGCTCAGTTCCGGTCCCCAGCTGCAGGCCCCTGAAGCTAGGCCCTGGGGACACTCGATCTGCTGGCATTGAGGGTTGGCATCCTGGGCTAGGTCCAGCAAACACAGGAAACCCCTGGTCCCGATCCTACTTTTTTCCTCTTGGCTGTTGGTATCAAGATCCTTTGAGAAGCCTGGTGGGCCAAAGTGAAAGAAGCTGGTCCCGCTGGAGGAGCAGGCATCTAAGTCGTCCTCTTCCAGAGCATCCATGGACTCACTGGAGCCACTGGTCCTGCAGCCTCGGCTCTCGGTGTTGGCTGAGTCAGATGCCTCGGACTCAGCACTGTCCGTCATGCTGCTGGCCCCGCAGGTACTCGGGCCTCTCCTGCTCGCCTCAGCTGTGGGACTGTCTCCAGGGGGCTGCTCCTCTCTAACGAATGGTCTACAGAGGCTCAGCTTCACCAGGCGCCGGTCAGACAGGGGCTCCAGTACGCAATCCACTTCAGAGGACTCCTCCGAGTCACTGCAGGCCCTAGACTCGTAGCCTGTGACAAATGAGACACGAAGAGTTACAAACCAACGTCCAGGTCTGACAGACGCCTGCGTGTCCTGCTTCCTGCCATCCTGCTGGAAGGGAAAACACAGAAAGTGACCGACCGTGTTGAACATGTACAAGCCTTTCTTTTCGTTATGGTTCCTGCAACAACACAGGAGAACAATGGCACACTATAATATAAATTATGGGGGAATAGCTTAGTGGCAGACCATTTGACTGTAATATAAATTATATCAGTACATTGTCATGTGCTTATTTGCATCCGTGTTGAGTGCTGACTCAGGAAGCAAGAGATGGCCCCATTCAAACATGCTTATTTCGAATTTCCCCCAAAAGTACTTTCCCTGGGTCAGGCTGGTCACAGGGACAAAGTAGAACAGCAAACCGCCAAAGAGGATTAGAAAAATTGTGTCCTCGAGGACATCTGGAACTATTGCTTATCCCATGGCATAAAAACGTGGGCAGTGGGAATGGGAAACCAGAAGCTCCTCCACGAAGACGACACTGCCTGGCACGCTCTTTATCCATCAGGGTCCCCAGATGACTTTTTGTTTTTTTCAAGACAGGGTTTCTCTGTGTGACTGCCCTGGCTGTCCTCCAGCTCACAGAGATCCGCCTGCCTCTGCTTCCCAAGTGCCGGGATTAAAGGTGTGTGTCACTATGCCGGCTCCAGGTGACGATTTTTACAAGGCTTCTCCAGTCATTCCTGCTGGGTGACGTAAGCACCAAATCTGATGTCCTACTATGTATTTGCTGCCCGCTATTTGTTCTTTTACTTTTGCTTGTTGTAGACTAATGAACTCACTCACTCAAAACTGAAAGCAAAGCTATCCTGGACCATTCTCTGTAGCATTGACAGTAGGGTAGATAATTTAGAGTTTGATTTAAAGTCTATACAATTTATACAGAACCAGTGCACTGGTTCTGTATAACTTATATACCATTTCATAGAAAGGACTGAACATGTGCACATTTTAGTGAGCACCAAGGGTTGTGGAAACAACCCCCTGCGGTTACCACAGATGGCATGGACGGCAGCATTCCACCCTCCAATCTAGTCTCCTGGGATGATCTAGGCCTGTTTTGCCACGAGGAGGAGGCACTATATAACGGTAAGCTGCTGAGCACCTCTGTCTACCTCTGTCAACCATCATGTTGGCAGCTTGAAATCGTGGTGATGGCAGGGGCGTCTGGCAATTGTTTCAGGGCAGGGGCTTTCCCCCTGCAGAGGCCATTATTAAACATTTATCAGGACACCCCTGGAAGAGCCACATCAATAGAACAGCTGACGTGGAAGCCGCCCGGGAGGCTGTTTTTCTCCCCTGCCCTTTAATACTCGCCCCTTTCATTCTTTACATGGTATAATTTCAAGTCTCTTTTGTCCCCAGGTACCCCTTCTTCTGAATGTAAGGCTGAGAGTCTCCATCATAATTCAAGAGAATGAGAAAGAGGGCAAAGGCGTGGATGAGACCAGTGCGCCCACGTTCTGAAAAAGTGACATCCCCTTTTGCCGAGAAAAAAGACACAATGGATCTTAGAGACGATTCCAGGAAACTCTTCAGGGAATCAGAGACCTTCTAGCGCTCCTTGGCATTTAGGAGCATTCCAAAGACTAAGAACGCTTCTCTCCTATTTAAGAAAGGTCAATTGCTTGGTTGGAAATAAATAAGCCTGTCCTGACTGGGAAAGACTCAGCTCCTCACCTTCTTCAGCAGACACTCGGTGAATCTGCTGTCTGTTTCCAGACCAGAGGAAAACAGAGCTAGCCGGGTCCACAAACAGCCTGTAGTACCCAGCAATCAAGCACGCCAGGTCTTTTGCACTGTTGGATTCCAGCAACAGAGTCAGAACCTGTGAAGGCAAGCAGAACTTTTCTGTTTGTAGAGGGTCAAGATACAACAAGGCCTACTGGGCCAAGGAGAGATACTAAGTATATTCAACCATGGTGCACAGACTGGCCCCCAAGCTGCCCGTATATTCACAGCGAGGAGCTAAATCTAAATGCCCAAGCATGTATGTGCACATAAACACACCTGCACACCCTGACACACTGTGGGTCCCTCCTCTCTAATCTAAATACTGTCTCCTTTATTTCTGTCCTTAGTGCCACTATGCCCTACCTACCCCCATCCCCCTACTCATTCACACAACTGGTCCCTTAAAGACCCGACCTAGCACAGGAAAAGGAGGAAGATGAGCAGAAAACACAGGGCCATTTTTGAGCACACTGGATGAAATCAAAAGAGGGAATAGTGAATATAGAACCTTCCAGAAAGGCACAGGAGGTACCCTGAACTATTTATCCATTTTAAAACTCTAGGTCCAGAATTCTTCATCAATAAAACACATAGCCCAACAAATAGAACAAAACCCTCTCAGGAGCCTCTCAGAATAATGTATCCTGCTCGCCATGGTCCACTTGAGGCAGATCCTTTTAGCCAGATAAACAGTGGACTTTATTATCACTCAAAGCTCATATAAACTACCCTAGAATAATTGCACACCCAATCCCAGGGGCCAGAGTCTCTTCCTCTGTGTTACCTTAATGTCTTGAAGATACACCTTGACCATGCTCACTTTCTCGGATTCTTCTGTCAGCTCCACGCGACTGATGTTAGCAAACTCCGCGAGTGTGGACACGATGTTGAGTTTGCTGTTGATAATCTGACTAATGCCATACTTGGCTCCAACTAGAAGGGCAATGTAGGATTCTCTATCCTGTAACTGCACAAGAGTGGAAGGCCAATTAGTTTCTATTCTCAAGCTCGTGAAAACATACTGCACATGATCTCCCTCCCTACAGATTCTTTTCTGTCATTTTTGGAAATGGTTTTGCTGTGTAGCCCGGGCTGGTCTCAAATTTATGATCCCCCTGCTACAGTCTCCCTAGTCCTGGGATTACAGTGTGTGCCACGCCTGGCTCCCCTCTCTGCCAAGCCTGTTTCCTACTTTAGCCCCTCACCGCCATTCCCTGAGACGACTCCTCAGCATGGGGCCCACCCAGAGCTGAATTGAAAAGAACGCTTTATTTTTCACTATTTTAAAATTATGTGTATATGCGTGTCTCTGTGTACATGAGTGCAGTACAAGTGGAGGCCAGAAGAGGGTGTTGAATTCCCTGGAACTAGAGTTACAGGCAATTGGGAGTGGCTCGACGTAGGTGCTGGGAACTGAACTGAGGTTGTCTGCTCTTCACGCCTAGGCCATTTCTTCAGGCCCCTTTGTAAGTCGTTTCAGCAGAGGACTCTTCCATACCATCATCTGCATTTTGTCATCCGTGCGTCTGAATTCAGACTGCACGCCTCTCCTGGACTCTCACCCTGTCACCATGACTTACGTAAATCCTGACCCTTCCTTAAATGCTCCCTCCAAACCCACAGCCACCTGGCCTTAGCAGCACTACCTGTAATCCCAGCCCTCAGAAGACGAAGGCAGGAGGACCAGTTCCAGGTCATCCTCCGGTATACAGCGAATTTGAGGCCAGCTTGGGCTACATGAGATCCTGTCTCAACAAAACAAAATAAACAAACAACATCTTATGCCAAGGGAAAGCCTCAGCCTCCTCAGCCCGAACAGCCACGTTCGGCTGCCACGTGGACCCCACGCCACGTCTGTATGTCTCTGGGAACACTGGGTGCATCTTGCTTGTTTCGATCACTGACACTCAGATATTACATGTTGAGTTCTCTGACAGCAGAGTTCGTATGATTCTACATTTGTAGTCAAGCCCAGAGCCAGTCCTGTATAGCTGGCTGCCCTTTCCTGGGGCCAATTCTTTCCTGAGACAGGAAAAGTCAAGGCAGGCTTGGGATAGGAGGGCTAGAGCCTGTGGGAACATTACAAGCTTTCCCAGGCCCTTCAGATCCCTCTGTTCTGAAATCCAGTATCTTTCCCACCTTTGGGGCCTTGTCCTTATACACACACAGAGGAATGGGCTCAGGGCAGAGGGCTCTCATCCTTCTCCTGTCTCAGGCCCACGCCTCAGTGTGTTGGTCTGCAACATCAGGGCCCAGCCTGGCACCCAGTCCACCTTTCTCATCTCTCGATCCCCGCTCTCCTGTTGCCCTTCTGTACCCAAACTCCCAAGGGTGCTGCTTACAACAGACCGCACCCCAGTGCCTGTCTCCCATTTTCCAGCCAGGCTTCGTCCGACCATCTGAAAGCCTTCTCTTCCTCGGACCCAGACTCAGTCAGCCATGGTGGCATCTATCTTCCCACCCTTAACAGTGGTCATAGCCTGCCTCCTGGCCTTGTCTTGTGGAGTGGCTTATTTCATCCTTGAGGGCAGAAATCAGAACTAATTCCGCTCTGCCTCCCCTAGCATCTTCCACGGGGCTAACATACACCAAGCCAGGGTCTGATCAATATCTGCCAATCTGTAAACATCCAAGGTCCCAAGCAAGCAGGAGTCCACCGTGGTCTGGTTCATACCATCAGGGTAGCATTGAAGACTTTCCCACCATATGTCTTGAGTTCCCCAAGGATCTGAAGATAATTTAAGCGCAGCTGAGCAGCAGAAATAAGTTGCTTTAATAGACAAAAAAAAAAAAAAAGTGTTAAAATCAGAGTTATTCACGTGCCTAAAATCCAGGCAACGCTGAACATTTCCCCCAAGGCTTCATGACAGACAACTGGGTGGGTCGGCAGAGGCTATGGTTACCTTACCTTTTGTCGGGGTTCCAGCAAATTCTGGTTCCTCTTCATGTGGAAACTAATGGCTTTCTTGATGTCTTTGCCTTTCATATTTCGGAGTAAAGTCGGAGATATAAAATTCTCTATTCCCCAGTCTTTCCTGCCATGAGACATTGGAGACAAGGGGGTCCATGTTTACTGTGCACTTGGTTCTCACGAAGAGCAAATGACAGGGACTTCAGATCTAGAATCCCGAACACACAGTAGACATGAGCACCTTTCTCTAGTGGGAGGGATGCCCACAGGCAGAGAGACAGAGGTATAGACACAGAAAGAGAAAGGGGAGATCTGTCTATATCCGTATTTATCTCTATAAAAGGAGAGTGAGAAAGAGTGGGGGTTCCCCCCATCGACACACATGATATACATTATACATATTCCGAATTTAGGACCTCCCGACTAACCTGGAAATAGACTGGTCTGGGTGTTGTGTGATATTTCATGAATCAAAGCAGAAGTTCTCAATCTTTTTAATTTTATTTATTTTTTTATTGTGTGTCTATACTGAGTCAAACTTGTAGGAAGAGTCTGAGATGCTGTATTTTAGCAAGTGTGCTCATGTGTGGTGGTCAGAGGACAACTTGTGGGAATCAACTCTCTCCTTCTACCACCTGGGGATCGAACTCAGGCTGTCAGCTTGGCAGCAAGAGCCTCTACCTGCTGAGCCATCCCACAGGCCTGTTCACAATCCTTTCAATAACAAAGTATGTGGCATGATCATCCATACGTACGAACCACGTTCCCGCCCTCTGCTAGGGAACAAACCCAGGGTCTAGGCAAGTGCTCTACCACTAGCCATGTTCACTGCCCAAACACTCTTGCGACAGAGAGCACCTGCCAATCCCCAAGGCTAAGCTTTAGAATGACATTAGCCTAGAAGCCTCAGAATCCCCCGAAAGTTGCTCCTTGACTCATTATACCAGGGGTAGAACCAGGGATCTGTTCTATTTTTAAATTCCGATTTCTCCGTATGATTTTGACGCTTAGACACGCTAGAGCAGAGACCTGGGGAGGGGCTTAGCATAACAGGGTGTTAGCTCTCAGAGCTAAGAATCAAGAGGTACATGGATCGTAGGACTTGACACCTCCCCCATTTGGGGGAGGGGGACAAAACGCAATAGCAACTGGTTCACACCTGTTGGAAGAATATATTTCCAAGACATCCCTGCCCTTAGACGCTGCCAACTGACTGCCTCGGACTTCCTTCTAGGGACTGGAAATTTCCAAAGGGACCCTGTGCCATTGCATGTGGAAGTGGCTTCTACCCAGATAGGGGAGTCGGGCTGGGTAAAGGGGAACAGATGGGAAGACAAAGGCAGATGGGTGAATATCAGCTTTCTGTGGAGTCTGTCCACCCTGGCTAGAAGCCAGCGGCCACAATGTGGCACAGCTGCCGACCCTGCCACTCACTCTATGTACTTCAGTGAGATCTTCTGTGGCTGGGCACAGGCATACATCCGCTCCTGGATATGCAGGGCTGCAAGCCGGAGAGCAGAGTTGCACTTCATCTCCACAGCAAAGCGCTCCTGGAGTACGTCACTGCAACTCTGCAAGAGATTACACAGAGCAGCTGGGCAACAAGAGAATGCACATCAGGCCCCCTGTCCTCTCAGGTCAAAGACTGCAGGCCAGCAGTCAGCACTGAGGGCTGGCTCTGACAGTTAGTTCTTGGCTGTGCGACCTTAGTTACATTATTAAGAACTCCTGAGCACGGTGCCTTCCATTGTTAAATGCATACTATCTGATCTACACTGCTTGATTTCTGTGGGGTTTAGAAAGGACAATATGGGCTGGAGAAATGGCTCAGTGGTTAAGGGCACAGACTGTTCTTCCTGAGGACCCGGTTCAATTCCCAGCACCCACATAGCAGCTCACAACTGTCTGTAATTCCAGTTCCAGGGAATCTGACACTCTCACACCAATGTACATTGAAAAGAAAAGACAATATTCAGAAATGCAAGCATAAAGCACACAGAATTATATAAATGTGAATATAATGCATTGGTGGTGTTGTGGCTGTTGCTGTTATTATTTCTTGGTACCATTTCTGTAAGACCTGGACCAGTCAACCCACCACTTGAATTGCCTCTTCTGTAAACTGGTGATTTTTCCCAGATGACTCTTTTCATCCAAATCAAAATAACAAAATTAATCTCAGACCAGGCAATAGAGGGCAGGCCCAGGCTGGGAACCAGGTTTCTAGCCGGGCATGGTGGCTCATGCCTTTAATCTCAGGACTTAAGAGGCAGAGGCAAATGAATCTCTGAGTTTGAGGCCAGCCTGGGCTACAGAGCTAGTTTTAGAATAGCCAGGGCTACAAAGAAGAAACACTGCCTTGAAAAACAAAAAACAAACAAAAAGAAAAAAGAAAGGAAAGAAGAAAGAGAGATAGAGAGATAGATAGATAGATAGATAGATAGATAGATAGACAGATAGATAGATAGCAATCAACCAATCAGTCAGGTATGGCTCGACTATTACATAGGGACCTCAGACACATGCACCTTCTAAGACCCAGTCCCATCATCTCTACTGTGAGTTTCCAAAGCACTAAAGCCCTGTTCTGCAATAAAAATGGAAACGATAGCAGTGCTTAATAGTATTAGAAAAAAATGTATCATCTACATCGAGGACTAAGCCTAAATTTGATTAGTCTCCTGCAAATCTCCCATTACAGCAACTCAGAGGACTACTGGGAGGGGTAATGGGGGCCACTGTCCTCCAGGAAAAGACAATCCCTCTGGGAGAGTTGTTTAGCGGCCACCAACCCAGAATAACCCAATGCATCTTTGAGGACACTGTCACGGCAGGTAGCTCAGCCCAGTCACCTGCAAGTAGAGATACTCAAAAGCCACAGGGTCTTCTTTCAGCAGGTCCAGGGGGTCCTTGGGAACAAAACACACCCTGAAGAGGCAGCGGGAGTCCTGCGATTCTTCCCTTTCCACTACCTGCCCAGGGTAAAGAGGACACAGTGACCTTGGCGCTCTATAAGGCGGCTTCACAAGAGAGAAGAGAGAAAGGTGGGGGGGCCTGTTCTATTTCAGTCTTTCCCCAGACAGCATAGCCTTCTCTCTCAGACTGATTTCTTTCCTGTGGTATAAAACGTGTATGACTCAAAAGGGTGATGTTTCTTCTGTCAGAGGAACCCCTGTCCACTCAATGCCCTCCCCAGAGACAGCCTAGGACTCCTCGATTTGTGGACTGAACGTTTAAATACTTGGTCAATTCAGTTGGCATGGCTATTTTGGGAGACTGTGGAGCTTTTAGGGGGTGGGGCCTGGCTGGAGAGAGTGGGTCCCTGAGGCAGGGGTGCAAACCCCTGGGGTGTATCTTGGGTCTGCTTCTGTCTAGAGTCTCTCTGCTTCCTATCTGCCAACACAATGTGATCATCTGCCACCAGCGCCCACCACCATGGACAAGAACTGCTCCTGCAGCCATAGCTTCTCCAATGATGTGCTGCAGCTCCTAAACTCTGAGGTAGAACTAACCTCTCTTTTTTCCTGAGTTGCTTCTGCCAGGAATTTTATCACAGCCAGGAGGAAAAGGAAATGCATATGAGTGTGTCAGTCTCCACAAGTAAAGATGTAGTTTGTACCGTTCTGCACCTTCTTCCTCCCTTCTTCCCCACTTCAACCATTTTGGGGGTTTAGTTTGATTTTCTTCCTCAACGCAAATGCAAGTAATTATATATATTTTAAATGACTGGATCATAACTCACTTGCAGTGAGGAAGGCTGAGTGATTCCAAGGTCAAGGCTTCCCCATTCCATGCTGAAGAAGCTCGTCCCTTTCTCAACTGTAGAATGTCTACTGATCTTTTCACAGTATACACCCTACAATGATTTGTTGAACTGACTTGTGTTTGACTTTAAGGAGTCAGTACAACTTTTTGCATGGCCAAAGGATTGGGTAGCACAGATGGACTGGCTGTTTGGCCTGTCCTACTCTGGGGGTGCAGCTCAGTGGGGCAAGTGCCACAAAAATGGTCTTGGACATAGTAACCAATGTCCCCTAGTAGTCCTGAGACAGCAGGTGCCAGGAAAGATCATCAGAGCCGGAAGCAAAAGACTTTATCAGATATGTGATGACTGGGGAAAACCACCGTACCCATGCAAGCCTCCATCTCCACATCTATAAGATGTGTGTCCTGGACTATGCCCTGCCTACCTCATAGGAGCAGATGCAAACCAGGCCTGAGTCTTGTCCTGCTAGCCCCAGGCTGAGCGAGTGCAGTAGGCCCCAGCCCTGATGTGGCTGAGGAGCTTGGCCTCCCCAGAGCAGGGTGGGTCCTCCTACCTGCTGGATGAGCTCCTCCTCATGCAGTAGGTGTAGGCGGGAGATGCTGTACTGCTCCTCCAGGGCCAGTGCAAAGTACTCGATACTTCGGATGGACAGTTTCTCCTTCACTGTGAGAATGATGTCCTGGCAGCGGAGGAAACAGGGTCACCTGATGAGTGGGAAGACTTCCTGTGCCTTCTCACAGGTCCCCCAGAATATCTGGGAGGGAGAAGCTGCCGTAGAGGCGTCTACTGCTAACACAGGCGGGCCCCAGTTCCACGTGGGACCTTTACGGCCCTGCACCACACGGCACCAATCTATCTTGCTTTTCTTCAGAGGATGAAGGTACCAAGGGGAGATTCCAGTCTCTTGCCTCATCTTGACTGCTTTCTAGACAGAATCCTACCAGTGACCTCATGCAACTATGACAGACTGGCTTCAGTTTCTTCTGAAATGGAGGAAACAATGTCTACAGACTGCCAGGGAGGCTATCCAGATGGAACGGCAGACAGTGCTGTGCTGAGGTTTGATGGCTGCCGGGCTGTATTCACCCTTTCTCTCCAATGGGCCCCTGTCATGGCGAATGCCTCAGGCACTCACATACGTTGTTCCCTCTGACCTACACACTTTTCCCATCATTCTTCACAAGGCTGTTTCTCTCCCTTCAAGTTTAAGCTCACATGTCACCTCTTCAGAGAGGTAATGTGTGGCTATTGTATCTAAATGATACTCTGCCTAGTATCCTCAGTTCCAGGGCCATCTTTGTTTGCTTTCCATTCTGGGGCCTCATACATACTAGACAAGAGCTTTCCCACTGAGCTAGGTCCCCAGCTCCTGGGGCATGTTTAGTTCCATCATTTTTTGGGGGGTGGGGTGGGAGGTTTGAGACAGAGTTTCTCTGTGTAGCTTTAGAGCCTTTCTTGGAACTTACTCTGTAGCCCAGGCTGGCCTTGAACTCACAGAGATCCGCCTGGCTCTGCCTCCCGAGTGCTGGGATTAAAGGCGTGCGCCACCACTGCCTGGGTAGCCCCATCATCATTTAATGTCCATTTCTTTAATAAATTATGTTCTTTATGTAAAAGACAGTAGTATAGCAGGTACATGAAAGGATTCTAGATTGAACCGCTCGTCCTCACTTCATTGTGTGCCCACGGACACACTGCTTGTTCTGTGTGGCTCGGCACAGTGCTTTAGGTGGAAGCAGCACTGGGAAGTATTGGTGGAACATCGACATCTATCAACCGGACTGCTGTGTGCATTCATTTCCCCACAGAAGGCACTGAGGACACTCGCTGGCGGGCGGTGATCCACACACGCTCACTCCCAGCATTTGTTTTCTTGTTCATTACCTTCTACCCTAATAGACAGCAGCTTGCTGACAGTGTAAACCTCACCTATGTTGGAGTCTTGGCCAGGGTTTCTAGTGCTGTGACAAAGACCAAGGCCACAAGCAAGCTGTGGAGGAAAGGGTTTACTCTTCCACATCACTGTTCATCAGCAAAGGAAGTCAGGACAGGAACTCACCCAGGGCAGGAACCTGGAGGCAGGAGCTGACGCAGAGGCCAGGGAGGGGTGCTGCTTACTGGCTTGCTCCCCATGGCTTGCTCAGCCTTGCTCAGGACCACCAGCCCAGGCACGGCATTACGCATAATGGGCTGGGGCCTCCCCCATCAATGACTAATTAAGAAAATGCCCCACAGTTGGTTCTTATGGAGACATTTTCTCAGTGGAGGTTCCCTCCTTTCAGATGACTCTAGTCTGTGTCAAGCGGACATAAGACTAGCCAGCAGAGTTGGGGTCAGTCATACGCCAACGCTTGGGGCCTAGGAGATGCTCATCGGAGTGCCACCTGATGACTGCCCACTGTGGATGCACTCCAGAACTCCTGTCAGAACCTCAGATTTAAAGCCCCAAACCACTAAGTGCTGCCTGCTCCCTGTGACTACCAGTCCCCTCACCATGGGTTCCACCCCCCTCCACAACTGAACCAGTGACTAAATCCCGCAAAGGGTATCTGTTTCTGCAACTCCACAGCATTAATCCAGCACCTCCTGTGTGCCAGGCACTGTGCTTACCACGACAGAAAGCCCCACCACTCTCTCTTAACCATACAATTATTATGAAACATGGACATATATACTTTTGGCATTGCAGACTGACTGCTCAATTTATGAAAAAAAAATCTTTTATTTTGTTACATTTAATTCACTCGTTTTCTGTGCCTGTGTGTAGTTGTGCACACGGCACAGTGTGCCTGTGGAGGTAAGAGGACAGGCATCTGTTCTCTCCTTCCTGCTGCGGGATGTTCTCTATGCTGTAAATGTATTGCTATGATTGAGTGATAAATAAAACACTCACTGGCCAGTAGCCAGGCAGGAAGTATAGGCGGGACAAAGAGGGAGGAGAATTCTGGGAAGTGGAAGGCTGAGGCAGAGAGACGCTGCCAGCCGCCAGGATGTGAAGCAGATGTTAAGATAACGGTAAGCCACGAGCCACGTGGCAACTTATAGATCAATAGAAATGGGTTAATTTAAGATACAAGAACTAGATAGCAAGAAGCCTGCCGAGGCCACACAGTTTATACGTAAATTAAGCGTCTGAGTGATTATTTTATAAGTGGGCTGCAGGACTGCTGGGGCTTGGCGGTACCCGGAGAGAAACTCTCCAGTTACACCTTCCACCATTGTGGGTTCTGAGGCTCAAACTCAGTTTGTCAGGTTTGGTGGTGAGTGCTTTTACCGGCTGAGGCATTTCACTGGTCCATATTATTGCTTCTTGGCTGGCTGGCAAGCCCGACTCTGTCAGTCCCTTTTCCCAGCTTTCCCTGGACATATTTGCTGTCTTGGCAATGTGCTGTCCAATGGACCCTCCTGCCACCTAGCAGTCCTCCACCTACCATCCAGAGAGGAGATGTGGAGCCACAGCCATGGAACAAGCCCAGCTCATTGCTGATTTTGTTAAAATTCATGAGAACAAAGCCATGCCAGTCACTATGATAGGAAAGTTGAGTAAGTGACTTGATGGCCCTCAAAACCTAAAACATTTATTGTCTGGTCTTTTATCATGTAGATCTAGGCAGTGGTTCTCAACCTTCCTAATGCTTCGACCCCTTAATACAGTTCCTCAGGCTGTGGAAACCCCCAACCACAAAATTATTTTTGTTGCTACTTCACAACTGTCATTTTGCTACTGTTAAGAATCATAATACAAATACCTGAATCGCAGGATATCTCATATTCGATTCCTGTGAAAGGGTCATTCAACTCCCAAAGGGGTCGTGGCCCACAGGATAAGAACCACTGCTCTAGAGGATGACCCCAGGGATTCATGTCGACTTGGCAAAAATTCTACCAATTGAGCTATATACCTGGTCCCAGAACGGAAGTTTTTTGATTTAAGAATTTTCTTCCCTTGGTAAGGGAGTGGGCAGGAGAAGTCCCCGATGAGCTCACGTGAGTTTTCCGTTTTTCACTAGTAGGGATTGTCTATACCCACCACGGAAAGACACACTTTATAAAATTTGGCTACTGCAGATAAGATTAGCCAGTATTAATCTGGCTAAGCCTTTGTTCACCGTCATAACTCTATCTTCTTAATTCCCCTGTGACATGAACTTTTATTGTAAATCCCCTCCAGGTATTTTTGGCTGCCCCTGAAGGCTTACTTGCCCTCGTCCACACTCCTTTGATCGAAGATGACAGAAGTAAAACCCCTCTTAGAGAATCTCAAGAGGGAGTTTATCACGTATAAGAGCATGCAAGGGCCTGGGTTTGTTCTCACATCTCGCCTTGGTGTTTAGCTAATTTGGTGTTTGGGTAGCAGGTGGAGACAAGAGGCAGGGAAGTCTCGTGGTTAAAGGTGAAGGCATTTGAGATGTACTATGACCTTGGACAAGCCACTTTGCCTCTCAGAAGCCTGAGCCTGGTGCGCTCACAAAACCTCCCTCCTGAAGCAGAAGAACAGGGGAGGCAAGCCCAGCCCAGAGTTCAGCAACAGGCAAACTTGATGGCAACTATAAGCCAGTGGATCATGACAAGTTGGGGACCTATGGGGCCTGTTGGGATAGTGCTTGCAAGTCAGTCACCTCTCAAGGTCAGTCAGATGTTAAATTAGACAGCACACAAGGAAGTGCTCAGCAGAGTGGCTGGCGTGAGTGAAACCCATCCATTTCTCCCTCTTTCTCCTCCAACAGCTTGGAGCTTCCCGGGTTCCAAAGGGCTCTCTCTACCCTCTAAGTCACACTCGGGGAGAAACTGTGGGAATTTGGAGTACCTTGGGAAATTGCCAAAGGAAGGTACAAGAGTGAAATATTAGGTATGTTCCTAGGTGTATGTGCGTGCGTGTGTGTGTGTGTGTGTGTGTGTGTGTGTGTGTGTGTGTGTGTGTGTGTACTTGTACAAGTGTATGTGTCTTGCTGCCGTCTATAACCCACAACTACACCATCCCACCTCTACCTGTTCTTCAGCCCCTAAAGAGCTGGGCTCTGCTTCCTGAGTGCTGGAATTAAAGGCGTGCGTCACCACACTCAGCTCTCACGGCTTTTAATGTTCTAAAAACAACGCCGACAGTTTGCTTCCTCTCTGCAGCCTCTCTCTGGCACCTCTTCCTTCCGTGCTCAAGAACAACTGGAGCCATCTCTCCCATCTCCGGACAGTGCTGTCTGGCACTGGAGGCCCTCCATGGCTACCACCCCTCCCTCCCCCAAGAGAACAGCCTGTGCTCCCAACCGCGTGCTTCGCTTGATAATGCCTGTTTTCCTGGTGTGCACCGGAAATCTTGGTTGCCCTTCATAGCTGCTCAAGTACATGTCCTTTTCCCTGCTGGCATGAGAAAGATGCATCCCACCTCTTGTAGCTTCATTTTACTCTGCTGTGGACAATTGGAGTTTCTGGGATGCCCACTCTCTCTAAACTTGACTGAAGGCTCCCTCCCGCGGTCTTTACCAGGCTCAATAACCCCCTCTTAGAGACTCTCGAGAGGGAGTTTGTTATGTATAAGAGCATGCAAGGGCCCGGGCTTGTTCTCACATCTTGCTTTGGTGTTTAGCTAATTTGGTGTTTGGGTAGCAGGTGGAGACAAGAGGCAGGGAAGTCTGGTGGTTAAGGGTGAAGGCATAGGAGATGTACTATAACCTTGGACAAGGCACTTTGCCTCTCGGAATCCTGAGTCCCTTCCCTGCAGGAGGTAACAAAAACACCATCTTACTGGGTGGCTGTGGGACCAAATGAGATAGTATGATACATATCTTGGCATGGGCACTCAGATTGCAGTGGGCAGAACACTAAGGCAGACAGAGGGCAGGCTGTCTGGGAGTCCATTAAGCTAGGAAGCAAGGTCCAGGTTTACTCTTCATACCTTCACAGTTGTGTTTGCCTCAAACTTGAACGCTTTGGTCTGTCCATTCTCCAGGTACACCTTGAGCACATTGGGCATACACAGCAGAGAGTTCCCCTGGAAAACACGAGAGTGGTGTTACGGCGCTGACCCACTCTTCTGGCTCTGGTGTACCAATCCCCAGCTGCCTGTTAGCATTTGGGGATTTCTCCAGGGCAGGTGGATCTGCTTTGTCCAGGAACATGCATGCGAGGGGCTCAGGTGATGGGGAGTGGGGCGGAAAGGTGAGTCTTGCCCTGTCCGAGTACTGCAGGAGCCCGTCGGTGGCTGACAACTGTTCATTGATGTGCATCTGTTGGTCGCCACCCTTAAGGGACACAATTGAAAAATGATGACCGCTCTATCTGTCATTTTCTGTGCTCTTCATGTGGGGCCTTTCTGAGATTCTTGACCGTTCTGTGTGGGGCTGGTGTGGAATAAGGGTGGGGGCGGAAGTGGGGTGCTTCCCTAGAGCCTCCCCTCCCCCATTTTACTACAGCAGCTCTGCAGTGAAGCATCAGCAGGGGACAGAGAGAGACACCCTGTCCCTCCACTGACCCCAACCATCACCTCTCAAAGGGACCCTGCCACTCTTACAGGCTTTGGGAGTAGGAGGCATAGGGCTAGTCTTTAGTAACTCCATGCCAGTCAGGATTCCTGGGAGCAGGGAAACATTGAGGGGATCCAAATGATCTCTGAGTTGAGCTGAAACTAAGTGAGAACTAGTGAGAAATTCTCGAGTTCCCAGGATTTGAACCAGGACTATGAGGAGTATCTATGTGTCTCTATGGAGAATCTGGGTAGAAATCCCAACTGGGCAAGAAAGTTCCTCACCCCTGCCCCCCAGAAAAAAAAGACCACCTGACAGCATTTTCCCCATGAGAATCTAGTCTTCTAGGGTGAAATATCATAGCTAACCAAAAAAAATTTTTTTTGATACAATGTTTTTATTTATGGAGGTAAGAGATAGGGTCACACTCTGTCCTGGTTGTTTTTTTGTTTGTTTGTTTGTTTTTTCTTTTTTGGTCAACTTGACACGAGCTAGAGTTATCTGGGAAGAGAAAATGTTCCATCAGAATGACTATAGACAAGTCTTTAGTACATTTTCTTGATAATGATTGATATGGGAGGGCCCAGCCCGTTCCTCCCCAGGGCAGGTGGTCCTGAGGTGTATAAGAAAGCAGGCTCAGAAAGGCCGGGGAAGGAACCTGACAGTAAGCAGCCTTCCTCCATGGCCTCCGTTTCCACTCCTGTCTCCAGGTTCCTGCCCTGGGTTTCTACCCTGACTTCCCTCAGTGATGGAGTTGTAAGTTGAAGTAAACCCTTTTCTCTCCTAGTTGCTTTGGTCATGGTGTTTAATCACAGCAACAGAAACCCTAGCTAAGACAGGCTCCAATACCAAATCCCACTCAGCCACGATGTGGGACTTGATTCAAGCAGCCCCTCTGCTCTCATTTCCCATTTCTGGCTCTGGGAGTAGAAATCTCATTTTGGATTTCCCACTTGGGCTTTTCTCCTTAGAATATTATAATCTGTGATTTACAAGGCTTCCAAAAAACCACCGCCCTGACATACATCTCACACCATTTGTTTCTCTTTAAAGCTTCTTTCAATTCTTGTCTAAATTTGTACATGGATTTTGGAGAGCTGAAAAACAGACTGTGCACAATTCTACATTCTTTCACTCTTCTTCAACATTTCATACATAATTTTAATGTAGGCTCTCTATTTATTATTGCAAAGGCTTTAGAATATTCTAAGGAACTGAAATATTGGAGTTGACATAACCACCTCTCCATTCTAGACACACAGCGTCTTTCTGGGTTTGGCTATTTAAAATACTGATACTACAACTATCTTTTTGTATCTGCATTTCTTGCATTTGAATTTCCTTATATTCTAAATTTATAGACGTGAGATGTCTTGGCCATATTTCATGGCAGACATTGAGTTGTGTCTTTTTCCACCTCCCCCGTAAGTTTGTACACTACTTCACAAAGCCCCCAGTGGGGGCACGATTGTAACGCTTCTCTCAGCATCCAGGCTGACATTTTTTTCTGATGTGTGCTCCTTTACTGATGAGCTGGCAGCTCACCAGCTCCATCACTTTGTAACAGCTTCCTTTGTGTCTCTTTAACTGTGAACCAAGCCAGACCCATTTCCAAGGCTGGCTTTTACTACTCTAGAACAACCTAGTGCAACAGTTCTCAACCCGTGGGCTGCGACCCCTTGCAGGGGGTGGGATGTTGAATGGCCCTTTCACAAGAGTCCAATGTCAGATATCTTGCATGTCAGATATTTTACATCAGGATTCATAACAGTATCACAATTACAGTTAGGATGAAGCAACAAAATGATTTATGGTTGGTCAGCACAGCATGAGGAACTGTATTGAAGGGCTGCAGCGTTAGGAAGGTTGAGAACCACGGTTCTAGAATGGTGTGCGCCCTTAGAGCTGTCTTCTCACTTTTCAAGGGAAGTTCAATCAGTGTTATCAGCCTCTAAACGCTTGTGAGGAAGGAGAGGCAGGTCACAGGGATGAGTGCTCACCGGCTTCACTGCCTCGTCCGTGGATGGCTGGTGCAGATGCCAACCTGTGAGCTTCCCAGAGACACTTTTGGGGAGGACTGGTCCTCTAAACTGCCCATCCCCACCAAAACCCTTAACCAGTTCAGTAGCCTGTCTCAAAATGTGTCCTTCTCTTGCCTTTTCAGAACAGACACCAGAGGATGAGGGATGATGGCCATTTTTAAGGTAACAGTCCAGGTTACCCGGTCCACACCCGTGGTGCCTTCATTCTCTCTGTCCTGGGCTGTTTTTTATTCCCACTGCTCCTCATGTATTTACTCTGCAGTCTGCAAGTTGATCGCTTTTTGGCCTTTTGGCTAAGAGTACGTGAATGCACATGTTGAATCTAAATTTAATCTTTGGAGAGGTTCAATCCATTTTCACAAGTGTTAACTCTGAGACTCAAATCCCTGCCGACAGGCAGCAGCCCAGGTTACAGATTGACGTGTTAGGCCCTGCGGGCCCTCTCTGAACAAGCTTATCTTTTTCTCTCGGGTCTAACTGGAGATGTCTGTCAGACAGTAGGGCAGAGAGAAAATAAAGAGAATAAATGTGGACCAGGTCAACCGGATCCTTGGTTTAAATGGCCACGGACCCCATTCTTTCAGTTTCTCTGGATGACAAGGGGTTTTGACTTGGAAGTTTTAAAATCTAACACTGGTTGCTGGATTCAGAATGGCAATAGTTGCCAGGCATTTTGTAAATTATGAGTAAATGTGCCTTTGATCAATAAATTCATATTTAAAAACATCAGCCTCAGGCTGGGAAATGGCTCCATGGTTAAGAATGTTGGTTGTTCTTTGCAGAGAACCTGAGTTCAGTTCTCAGAATCCACAGGGTGCTCACAACTGTAACTCCAGCCACAGGGGATCCAATGCACTCTTCTGGCTTCTGTGAGCATGCATGCAAACATACACACATACACACACACACACTCACTGTATACAGAAAGACACAGATATACACACATACAGTATACAGACAAACACAGATATACACACATAAATAAAAAATAATTAATCTTAAAACAATTAATTGGAAGGCCTAAATTTCTCTTAACAAATATGTCTTCTGACATCACACTCCCCACACTCCCAGCCTTCTCCCATCACCCTGGATATCTCTCTATCACAAAGGACTAGAGAGCATGTCTAGGGAAAAAAAAAAAGGAAGTCACATAGACTCAGGCTCCTCTCTTTCCTTTCTGTGTGATTTAGCAGTTAATTCTCTTAATCTAAGCCTCTGTTTCTTCTTTTGTTACAATTCATCCTTTACAGGATATGGTGGTGACTGAGGATTAGGCACAGAAAAGGTTTACAGTTCATAACAGAGGTTCAATAAGATGCCGGGCTCAGATGTTAAAAATCAAAACAGCATGCCGGGCGGTGGTGGCGCACGCCTTTAATCCCAGCACTCGGGAGGCAGAGGCAGGCAGATCTCTGTGAGTTCGAGGCCAGCCTGGTCTACAGAGTGAGATCCAGGACAGGCACCAAAACTACACAGAGAAACCCTGTCTCGAAAAACAAACAAACAAACAAAAAACCAAAAACCAAAAAAAAACCCAAAAACAACAACAAAAATCAAAACAGCAATCCTAGCTTCCACCATCATTATTAGCAATATATTAATATTTCCTTTCGAGGGAATGGTAAGCTCCTAATGAGTAGTGGAACCTGTAGGGCAATCACAGCAGGGGACTGGGGCTGGTGAACACCAGGTAGCCACACCCAGAGCTTGTTCCTCATCCCACATAGCCAGGGTCCCACCAGCTTCCCTTGTCCAGGGCCGGCAGCCACCTCCCAGAGGAAGCACACTAAGCCTCCTGCAAATGCTTTCTGAAGAGTCCAGAGTTTCGGGGAAGCATGTGCTAGAAGAGGCTTGTCCACTTGAGCAAGCACTCCCATCTCTCACTGGTGACGCACCTGGCTGTGTCCACTGACCAGCACCTCCTCAGCAAAGTGCACCTTCACAGGGTTGGTCTTCAGCCGGGCCCTCTTCTCCTCCGTCAAGAAGGATGACTTGGGAGTTCCCTAAAAAATAGTAACACAACACACTTTGGAAGAGCACTAGGAGCAGAGGAGACCTGAGAAGAGGAGGTTCCTTGACAAGAAAGCATGGTGATTATAGCTGGCAACTGTACAAATAAGCCTTTTAGTCTCAGGACTATGAAAGCCCTGTGGCCAAAACACCCGCCAAGGCAACACGACCCGACAGGGATTAATAGGGAGAGTGATCCGAGGGAAAAAAAAATCAATTGGACAAGCACGGGTGGTGGACTCACTTAGAAGCTATTCATTTGAAAACCAGCTCAGTATTTCACTGACCACAAATTTCACCCAAGCTAACAGTGTGATTGGCCTAGTGTTAACCCATTCCCGAGCTCCACGAGCATTCTTGGTGCACATCAGAAGTGACCCTTCATTCCCAGGAGCACTCTTTGGCTCTTGGTGGAACCAGGGACTTTTCTGGATTAGACCATCTGCAAGTGTCTTAGTTAGGGTTTCTATTGCTGTGAAGAGACATCGTGACCATGGCAACTCTTATAAAGGAAAACATTTAATTGGGGTGGCTTATATTTTCAGAGGTTTAGTACAATATCATCATGGTGTGACATGGTGCTGGAGAAGGAGCTGAGATTCCTCCATCTTGATCCACAGGCAACAGGAAGTGAATGAGTGTCACAGTGAGTGAAGTTTGAGCCGAGACCTCAAAGCCCACCCCCACAGTGATACACTTCCTCCAACAAGGCCACACCTCCTAATAGTGCCACTCCTTATGAGCCTTTGAGGGCCAATTATATTCAAACTATCACAGCAAGGATCACTACAAGACTGTAATCCATCCAGAAAACCATCAGCAGAGAGAAAAGTCACAAAAACCACACCTCCAAGAAGTAATTGTTCAGCGTGAAGACATGAAAGCCATGCTGCCAAGTCTCAGAAGAGCTACCTCAGACGAGGCAGACTATGTTGAAGTAGGATAGTCAGTGGGAGTTACATGGAAATAGGGCCCGTCACTCCTGGAACCATGAAACTGGCTGCCTTGAGAAAGAAAGCACCATCATCCGTCATGGAAAAGCCATGGGCCCCATGGTGGCTCCTGCGTTTTCACATCTGCGTGTCAGTACCACAATCCAGGCAGCCCAGCATCTTAACACTCTGCAAACCACTTGTGTAAGTGCACTGATATTTAAAGGAACAATTTGGAGGATATGAACCACCATTTGTCCTAGGACTTCTGAACTCTTCCTGGGTTCACTGATAAAAAATGTGTTCTTGTTGCAGAGTTAATGCTTGAAAGTGTTAAGAGTAGAGAAAATTGTCAGCCGGGCATGGTAGCATACTCTTTAATCCTACCACTCAGGAGGCAGAGGCAGGTGGATCTCTGTGAGTTCAAGACCAGCCTGGTCTACAGAGCGAGTTCCAGGACAGCCAGAGCTACATAGTGAGACCCTGTCTCAGAAACAACAAAATAATTCCTGCTACTCTCCCAGAGAACCTGAGTTCAATTCCTAGCAGCCACATCAGGTGGCTCGTACTTGCCTGTAACTTAGCTCCCTTGGCACTGCATTCACATATACAAACCCACACACGGACACATACCAGTACACCTAATTTAAGAAAAATAACAAGGATAATTTTTTAAAATGCAAATTTTAAGCCAGAATATATTTTTCCATCAATTCTGTGTCCTAGCTGTGAGAAGTAGTAGTTAATGTTCTAGCTTTGGATTTTTATTTTTTTGGTCTTTCGAAACAGGGTTTCTCTGTGTAGCTTTGGCACCTTTCCTGCAACTCACTCTGTAGCCCAGGCTGGCCTTGAGCTCACAGAGATCCCCCTGCCTCTGCCTCCCGAACGCTGGGATTAAAGGCATGTACCACCATCGCCTGGCTCTAGTTTTGGACTAGATAATTCCCAATCTGTTAAAATTATTTGAGGATTCTAAGAATCCACCATGACCACAGCAATGCCAAGCTTCCTTGTTGAAGCATGTCATGTCTGCTCATGTTGCCATGTCTATAAAATGCTTTGAATGCTCCTGACCGAGGCCCAGGAGGTCAGCCTATGGTCAGGACATTCTCAGGGGTCCAGGTGGCCAGAAATGGGTGTTCCTACAGATTCTCCTGAGTGTGGTACTCACATTCTACCTGGAAAGCTTGGTACTGGGACATAGACATTTTTTTTTTTCCTTCCCTACTTTTCAATTTTTAAGGACTAAAGCTATGTGCTGTTCTCTGCCTCACAGAACCAAGGGCTCTATTTTGTCCATTTCATGGACTTGCTGTGGGAAACCCCCACCTAATCAAGATTGAGATGCTTCCCATTGAGATGATAATAAGCTAAATAAAAAGAACGGCTTACCACCTGCACTGCTATTTACACTGATTAGCTATCCCCATTTTTATATTGAGTTCACATTATTTCATAGACAAACTGGTTAGAATAGAAAATAGATGTGCATGGAACATCCAGCTTGTCATATTTAGAGCAAACATTTTAATCCTAATTGGGTGACTTTCCCCCCTGTTGTTCCCAAGAAATAAAAGAAAAAACTTCTTGAACAGGAAGAGGAGATGAGTTCTTTGTTTATGGAATGTTTGGACCACAAAAATGTTACATTTCCACACAATTGAAAGGCCATTTCTTCCTATCCCCATATGCACAGGAAATCCTTCAATAGCCAATGGTCTGACAGTCAGTCATCCATATTGTTTACATCTTATTTTTATTATTTACTTAAAATTACATTTATTTACTGTGTGCATACACGTGTGTTCGTGCGTGCATGTGTGTGTGTGTGTGTGTGTGTGTATGTGAGAGAGAGAGAGAGAGAGAGAGAGAGAGAGAGAGAGAGAGAGCACAATGCCCACATGGAGGTTCTTTTCTTTCACTATCTAGGTCCCAGGCATTGAACTCTGGTCATCAGGCATGACAGCAATATATATTCTGTAACACCATATGTATGTGATAAGGTTGCCTGTATCCCAACTACTTAAAAACATTAAGGGTGGTTATACACACCTATAATACCAGCACTCAGGAGGCTGAGGAAGAAGGATTCACTATAAGATGTAGATTTTTATTTTTATTATTCTCTTTAATCATTTTAGTTGATTGTTTTGGTCTATTGAGGCAGGATCTCATATAGCCCGGCTTGGCCTTCATCTAGGTATTAGCTGAAGCTGGCCTTGAACTTCTGATCCGTCTGCCTCTGCCTGACAATTTCATGCACCACCACATTTGATTATCTAAATAGTTTTATTTTTTTCTCCAACTTCTTTTCACCAAAACTTAATTGATGTATTTCTTTTCAGACAGTAAAAACAGTTAAGACTCTGAGTTCTACCCTGATCACAGCTTCAACACATAGTAATTTTGTTGTTGTTTTGAGACATGGGCCTTTTCCATGTGGCCCTGGCTGTCCTAGAACTCACTAGGGAGACCAGGCTGGCCTCAAACTCATAGGCCCTCCTTCTGAGTGCTGAGATTAAATGTGTGGGCCACCACACCCAGGTTAGTTTTTACTTTAAATTATATTCAGGAAAAGGAACCTTTATAGCCTTAAATATTTTGTTTGTGTATTTTTAAATAGGGTCTCATTTATAACCCAAGATAGCCTGGAACTTGCTCTGAAGTCCAGGTTGGCCCCAAACATTTGGTCCTCCTGCCTCAGCCTTCTGAGAGCTGGGATTTTAAGTGTAAGCCTCCACACCCATACCTATATGCTTTTTTTTTTAAAAACTCTTTTGGCTCTTTGAGGGCCCTCCACCTAGCTCCCAAATAAATCACAGAGGCTTATTCTTTTTTATGAATGCCCAGGCTTAGCTTGGCTTATTTCTAGCCAGCTTTTCTTAACTTAAATTATCCTGTCTATCTTTTGGCTCTGGGCTTTTATCTCTCTCTATTCCATATACCTTTCTTTACTTCTCACTCCGGAGCTTGCTGTGTAGCTGGGTGACTGGCCCCTGGGGTCCTCTCTCCTTCTTTTCGTGCTCCTCGATCTTCTCTCCCCAGATTTCTCCTCCTATTTATTCTGTCTGCCTGCCAGCCCCGCCTATCCCTCTCCTGCCTAGCTATTGGCCGTTCAGCTCTTTATTAGACCAATCAGGTGTTTTAGACAGGCACAGTAACACAGCTTCACAGAGTTAAACAAATGCAACATAAAAGAATGCAACACATCTTTGCATCATTAAACAAATGTTCCACAGCATAAATGAATGCAACACGTCTTCAACTAATACTGCACAACAGGGGGGGGGGGGTGTTACTGCATTTTCTTGATAATCTAATATATGGTCAATTAGGTTAGGTTATTAAATATATCGTTAAAGTTCCCTGTGTTGCTCCCTTTTTTGATGTATGTGTAGCCAAATTCTCAAAATGTGCATTTTTCTCAATGTTTCCTCCCCGGTCAGTTTGCTCTTACAACTCAATCCCAGGAGTTTCCCTCTACCCGCATCAAGGGCCCTGTTGGCCCTGTTGGTGACCCAGGCCTGATATTTTCTGACTCATGGCAACTACATCCTACCTCAGCTGATAAAACTGTCACACGTGACACTTCATTTGGTGCTTTGGACAATCCATTAGGCAGACAAGGCAGTTACTGTCATCCACCATTTTACCCATTGGGAACTAGAAGGAGGGACTTGTCCAAAGCCATCCCATCCCAGTGTGCTGTCCCCCCCATTAGCCCACTCTGCATTACACATGGTCTCCTCCCCTGAACTATAGTCCCCAAGGTCTGGACCGTATCTGTTTCCTCCACAGCACCAGTGGCCAGGAGGTCTTCAGATAGCATTGGCTAACTAGTCACCCACGGCCTGGCAGCTGCCACCCTTTGCCCTATTTATAAGGGATATCTTCAAGGAGCACCAGAGTCTCAGGGTCAGGGAGAGTGAAACTAACATATAGGACAAAAAAAAAAAAAAAAGAGAGAGAGAGAGAGAGAGATTTACCGATGTGCAGCGGACAACTGTAATTGAAAGAGCATCTTCAGTTTCCCTGAAAAACAGAAGAGGATAAAGAAAAATATTCAGTCATTTGTGTGTGTGTGTGTGTGTGTGTGTGTGTGTGTGTGCGCGCGCGCGCGCGCGCGCACGCGCGCGCATGTGTATGTGTGGTGTGGTGTGTATATATGGTGTGTATATGTGGTATGTGTGTATGTGTGTGTGTGATGTGAGGGGTGTGTGTGTGTGTGTGTGGTGTGTGTGTGTGTATGTGTGTGATGTGGTGTGTGTGTGTGTGTATGTGGTGTGTGTGTGTAGTGTGTGTGGTGTGTGTGTATGTGGTGTGTATGTGTGTGTGTAATGTGTGGTGTGTGTGTGTGTATGTGGTGTGTGTGTAGTGTGTGTATAGTGTGTGTATGTGGTGTGTATGTGTGTGTGTGATGTGTAGTGTGTATGTGGTGTGTGTTGTATATGTGTATATATGTGTGTGGTGTGTGTTGTATATGTGTATATATGTGTGTGGTGTGTGTGTGGTATGTGTGTGTGGCACACTGTGATAAAACACCTCTTTAGAAAGGCTTCTTGGGCTCAGCAAAGCTAAGGAGGACCCAGGAGTGCTCCTGCCTGGATGCCTTCTTCTGCCATGTGGACACTCCACAGCCACTACCTTAAGCCTCCTCCTTTACTCTCCTGCGGTAGGGAACTCACGCAGTTGATACTGGCTAGTTTTATGCCTAAAGATAATTTTATTTTTAAAAGCACAGTGGCAACACAGGTAATTTAATTATTTCCAAACACATAGGCTAAACATTCCTCTGTCGATAACATCTATCAGCTAGGAGTCAACTCTTTTGTGGTGTTTCGGTACACACAGTCACTTCAGTGAGTCCAAAGCATATAATCAAGACACTGAATAGACATTTTTATCTCAAATTATCTTGGAGATTTCAAAAGCGATCAAACAGGTAACTGTCACACCTCCACTTTCTTTAACAAAGGACCAAGGAGCTGGGGCAGATCTCCACCCTGCCTTGCCATGTCTACTTACAAAGAGAAGCAGTTTGCAAACTTTTATCTGACTTCTTGCAATACAAACATTTAGGCCAGTGGAGGAGGGTACATCATTTCCCCCGCAAAGGTTAAGCTCAACCTGAAGATTCGCACAGTCTGGGGGTCGCCTCTGCTCCAGTTCATGTGAGCTCAGGCCTTTTCAGAAGTAAATCACATAAATCCAAGGTCCTGGTGCTCTACAAAGGATATTTGGGCCTCAAAGCTCTTTGGAGAAACTAGAGATTTTTGTTGCTGTTATTGTCAAGCTATTTTAGTTTGTTTACCCTTTGCAACACACTGCTTTCAGACATAGGACACCAAGCTACAACAGCAATCCATGCTGGGATTCCCACATGTACAGGGAGCAGAGTTATAACCCCGTGGTGGCCCTTCTCAGAGAGAATGACACTGGATCTTGCCAAACTGGCACCCAGGATCCTCCATCATCTGGGTTTTACTCCCCAGAACAATCCTTGAGGCAAAGGGCAGTGTTCAGCACTCCCCTGCTCCCAGTCTTATGGCCCTAGTTCATTATTTTACCCAGATCATCACCCAAGTTCTACCTAGCAAGAAAGGTCCTGCCGCAGAGGCTGGCATGTGCTTGTCTAGTATGCCTAAAGCCCTCCCTGGGTTTGATCCTCAGCCTCCCATAAACTGGATGTGGTGCCACACACCTGTCTCCTAGCACTGGAGAGGTGGGGGCAGGAAGATGTAAGGTTCAAGGTCACGTGAGTTTGGGGCCAGCCTGGGCTACATGAGACTTGGTCTCAAATGAATAGATAAAATGAAACAGGTATGGCTGAACTATTTCTGGACTCTTCTCTGCTTTGTCAAGCTACAGCTTTTACCTAAGCTGGGAGTCTCTCATGTTTGTAGCCTTGTTGTTGGAGGACTTCTGGTGACATAACCTTGTTTCTCACGCCTGCTCATCCTCGTCCCAGAAGGCTGTACACACACACGGACCTGCACAGGCTTATAAGTGGCTGGGGAGCAGATTGCCTCTGCCTCCCAGGGTTCCCTGCCCAGACTAGATGTTCAGTAAGCAGATAGGGGCCAACTGTTACCTAAACACCAGTTCTAGACTGTGGCTTAAAGTTATAAATACATTCCTTGATCCCTTGGAGTGTAAGGCTGACAGAAGTATCAGTGGCACTGAAAAATCTGTTGGAAGCGATCCTTTTTGGGAAAACAGCCCAATAACTTAGAAAGCAAACTTCAAAGGTTCTATATTCACTTAAAATCATCGAATCCTTTCCTGTCAGCTTCACAGATTCAATTAAGCTCCTGGCACTCCTGAAGCAATCCTGGGTTTGGCTCCAGAGATTCCTTGTGAATCTTCCCTTGAACTCTGTCTGTCTGTCTCCACAGAAAGACTGTGCTTCCTGAGGGCAGAGGTGGGGCTCTGCACCGTCAGTCCCTCCTCTGGCTGTGTGTGTCACCTATCAGGGCTGCCTGGGACAGGCTCACGGAAGCACACACCCATGAAGCCAGGCCAGCCAGCTCCCAGAAAGGCACAGAGTACTCTCACTTAACTCTGCTTCTTGTCTCTATTAATATTAAAGTCACAAAGCAGCACCAAACTTAGAAGCCAAGGCGTGCATGTCCTGACGCTGTCTCCGAGGCTTCCCCTACCTCACCACGGCTCATCTGTCTACCTTTCAGTCCGGTGATGGGTTCTCAGTGCCACACGGCCTCTCATCTCACTGAGTAGCCTCTGCTCATCTGTCTTGTTCTTGGGAAGGTCCAGGCAGAAAGGGAAACATTCACGTAAATCACAGTGTCACAAGAGGGAGATACAGATGTCACACCAGTGAAATCACATATATGTCAGTCAGGCCGGAACAGCAAAGAACACCCAAGAAGACAGTGACAGGATTAAAGACAAGCCAGCATACCAGCACGTATTTAGTTCAAGCTTTGGCGTATGCTACCATCAGTCCTTAGAGGACAGGGCCAACGTAGTATCCACCAGTACACGCCCCACAGTGCTTAGCATGGAGTCTTGGGCCTAGTGAAGGTTTGAGAAATAAGCACTCTATGCCCGTCAAAGTTCTGTAGGCAGGTGGAAGACAGCAGACCACGCTACAGTCAGGGCCAAACACTCACTATTCCTGGTGCTGTACAGGGGCCAGAGCCTGCCTGGGCACGGGGCCAGCCACAGCTCTCCTAAGGACTAGCTCTGCTCCTCCATCACCTGTGCGGCCCTGGATGCTGGAAGACAGCGGAGTACCTGAGAATATCGACTGCTCGTTCACAGGAAAGGTCTTCAGCTGGCTCGTTGTTCATTTGGAGAATCTGATCGCCAGGAAAAAGCTTGCCATGAGCGGAGCCACCTGTTGGACAGAAAATAGGTCACTGCTCAGGCTAGAAAGGCTGAGACCCCACAAGTCACAGTGTACCCCGGAAAGGTAGCCGAGGTCCCTTGGGCAGTGGCTCATATGGAGCATACTTTTCCTTATTATAAACCATGGGAAAGATACGTATTCTCCCTCAGTTTCAAGAGATGGAGACGGTCCACAGAAAGAAAAGCAACAGAAACGTCTAAGCCATCGCGGCTGCCGAGGGGCTGGTCTATTCCCCTCCAAGGAATTGAAAGTGTGTACCTTCCTATGTATATAAGTGGAAATTAATACACTTTAACCAGCCACAAGTCCAACACGGACACATAGCTCAAGCTTGAGAAAAGCACCGGGCTCCTAGCCTGCTCCTCTCCGTCCGGCACAGCCTATATGTCACAGAGACTCAAACGAAAACAAATCAATGGTTTCTATTACACACACGTACTCTCTCTCCAGAAGCTTGACAGGCTGGACATGCAGGATCCAAAGAGGAGGTCCAGCTTCTCCAAATACCTTCCCCGCCCTGACACAGGCCTGGAAGCCAGGAGAGTGCAGGGCCCTGGGCTGAGGCCAGTGGGAGCCTAGGGCTCAGAGTATCGAGTGCTCCCAGGCCACTCCATTCTGGCACAAAAATCAGGTGAAAAGCCCAAGACAGAATGAGGTCAGAATCTTCCAGCTTCCCAGGTAGCAGTTTTGTGCCTTTTCTTACAGGCCAGAGGGGGCAGGAGGAGAAGCTACTTTCCCTAAGAGGCCAAAACCCTTCCACGGTTCCCCATCAGCCCCTACCTGCCGTGACAGCCACCACTGTGAGAGGAAGTGTCTCGGAAATGTGAAATCCATAGTTCTGGAGGAGGGCATCCTTGTCGAGTGTTACGGTGTGCCTCACTGTCGTGAGAGCCTGGGCTGGGTTCCCGGGTGGCCCATCAGCTGCAGCAACTTTAGCCCTGGAAGAGAAGGAGTGGGTTTAAAGAAAAACAAAAACAAACAAACAAACAAACAAAAAAACAAATGCAGGACTCCAAAAAGTGGACACCAGCTGGGTAAGCCCCAGGGGTGACAGAAAGACAGGAGACTTAAGTAAACACCAGGCCTTTTCTTCCAGTGCAGAGGCTCGGAGAAACCAGGGCCTCGCCTGTGGTAGGCAAGAGCTCAGCCACCAGGCTAAATCTTCAGGGCTTGGTTTTGGGATATAAGGAATGGTTATACAGTCTAGGCTGGCCTCAAACGGAGAGGGACGAGACACAGTGCTGGCGTCAGCACCAAACAGGACTTAGCACCACGCTCTGGAAGTGGGGCCACGGCTGCTATGGGCACCCAGAAGGCGGAAGAGCTGGGTCCATTCTGTAGGGATGGAGACAGGATGGAGGGCTTGGGTTGCACCTAGAGAAACACAGCCCAGGTTCTAGTCTAAAAGAGAAGCAATGACTGAGGGGCAGATGGTTGACAGGCACTCCAGTGAGGAGGCCTGCCTGAGCAGAGAAGGAAAACCAGGAAATACAGGAGCAAGAGCTATTCTGTTTAAAGGTTTCACTTTAACTTTTTTATGTGTGTCTGTGTATGTCCATGTGTGCATGTGCACACATGTGTGGGGACTCATGGAGGCCAGAAGAGGGCGCTGGATTCCCTGGAGCTACACAACATGGGTGCTGGGAACTGAACCCAGGTCCTCTGCAAGAGCAGCCAGTGCTTTAGGCTCTGACTGTCTCTCCAGCCCCGGAGGTACTCTGCTTAGATGTTTGATGACGGCCTATTTTATAGATGGATGTTCCTTAGGTGCTCTATCTGTTTAGCTTTATGATGCATTTTTTTTCTGCTAAGCTTTGTAACTGTGAGGATTTCCATCTGAAATGCCAGTGAGCAAGGACTGCCTCAGTATTAAATTTCTAAAAACATACATATTCTCTCTACATCTAAAAGCAGGGAAATTGAAAGCTGTATTTTCTACCCCTTAAAACCACAAAGCGAATCCGAAACTATTTTTCATCTATCTGCAGCAAATGATTTTTCTCGCCCTAACATTCAGCAGTTCCTTCTGAGGAAGGGCAAGAAGCAATGAGCCGAGGTGTTTATCATTATTATAAACAAGAGGACTGGAGAAGTAACAGCTCCCTCAGGCCTCTGCAGCACGTGTCTATAATTGATTCTCCTCTATTTACTAAACACTGTCAGGAACCCTGCCTGATGCGGCAGGGCTGTACCTACTGGACTGTGCCATTTATAAAGACCTCACAGTCCCACCAAGAATCGGGAAGCTTGAAACACTGTCTCCCAGAGCCAGCTCTCTGGACCCCACGCATTCTCCGTCCAGGAGCCCACTGATGGATGAGCACAGCCGAACTCTGGAGAGAGGAACCAAGGCCCGCTGCTTAGAGGCAGGGCCCTTCCTCCAGGAAGCCAATGAGTCCCCATGAGGAAGGATCAGCAGAGAGACCTAATACAAGAGAGACCATACGACAGGAAATCACAAAAATGTATGTGTCTTAAATCCATAGCCAGTCCAGATTTAAAAACCAAAACTTTAAGCCAAGTGTAGTGAGTACACCTATAATCCCAGCTCTCAGGAGGCTGATGCAGGAGGTGCTCAAGGAAACATACAGCCTATATAAGAACACTCTACGGGCCGGGCAGTGGTGACACACGCCTAGGCAGGCGGATCTCTGTGAGTTCGAGGCCAGCCTGAACTACAGAGTGAGTTCCAGGAAAGGCGCAAAGCTACATAGAGAAACCCTGTCTCTAAAAACAAACAAACAAAAAGGACACCCTACTTCAAAACAAAAACAAAACTCCAGCCATAGCAGCCAGTATCTGAGAGGGAGAGGCAGGAGGATCACGAGTTCAAGACCACAATGGGCTACATGACACTCTGTCTCAGAAAAACAACACAAAAACAATACAAAAATTTAAATTTATATGTCTACATGTACATATGTATCTGTGTGTATGTACACACACCTTCAAGTACCCTTGGGGTCAGAAGAGGGAGATGGATCCCCTGGAGTTAGATTTGCAGGTAGCTGTGAGCCACCCAAATGTGGGTGCTGAGAACCAAACTCCAGTCTACTGCAAGAGCAGCAAGTGCTCTTAACCATTGAGCCGTCTCTCCAGGTGTTAAAGCTATAACATGGCTGCAGAACACATCTGTTGTTCTCTGCTGGAAGGCTGAGACAGGAAGACAGTGGAGCCTAGGAGTCAAGGCCAGCCTGAGCAACCCAGGCACACACACACACACACACACACACACACACACACACACACACACACACACCCCACACACACCCAGACTATAAATGCTCTAAATATAAATGATATACTTTACATTGAAAGCAAAAATTCATTATTTGAGGGCTGGAGAGATGGCTCAGCGGAGAAATCATGAGGACCTGAGTTTGGGTCCCCAGAACCCACATAAAGCCAGGCAGCATAACCCCTATAAACCCTGCAACCCAAGAACTGGAGAGGTGGAGATAAGCAGACCCCTGGAACTTGCTAGACAGTCAATCTAACCAAAGGTTCAGTGAGAGACTCTGCATCAACAAACAAGATTAATAATGGAGACAACACCAGATGTCAACCCCTGGTTCCACATGCATCCACGCATACACACATGAGCACGAAAACACACACGTGCACATAAACACACACACAGAAAGCGCTCAACATTTGGAGGTGGAGAGACGGCTCAGCAGTTAAGAGCACTGGCTGCTTTTGCAGAGGACCCAGGTTCAATTCCCAGCACCCACATGGTGGCTCATAACTGTCTGTGACTTCAGTTCCAGGGAATGTGATGCCCTCTGGCCTATGCTAGTCATACACACAGTGAACATATACACATACATGCAGGCAAAACATTCATACACATAAAATAACCTTTTAAAAAACATCATCTGTGTTTTTAAAAAAGCAAAGGATAATTATGCCTATTTAATGTTACAAAAGAAAGTTTAGAACATTTAATCAGGGATGAAAATAAGAGAAATGAGCATAGAAAATGGGCAAGTATCACCTTTCTTCATTTTCATTTAATTTTATTTAGTGTGTGTGTGTGTGTGTGTGTGTGTGTGTGTATGTGTGTATATATATGTGTGTGCTGTGTATATATGTGTATGTGTGTGTTTGTGTGTATGTGTGTGTTGTGTGTATGTGTGTGCTCATTCACTGCACACACATGGCGGTTAGAAGCCAGCTTTGTGGGGTCGGTTCTCTTCTCCCATCGTTACTCAGTTCTGAGGACTGAACCCTGGTTGGAAGGCTTGCAGGGTGAGCACTTTTACACACCGAGCCATCTCTCTGCCACCACCCCCGGCCCCAGCTTTTTCCTAGACTAGAAATCACTGGAGCTGCAGGATAAAACAAAACCCGGCCACAGAAAGACTCCAACAACTCATTAAAAACAGATTAGTGGAAGGGATATTCGGTGCCAGGCATTTTTAATGAACTAATGCTAGGTAGTTAGAAAACAGCACCAGAGGATTCCACGACCAAAATTAGTGGTGTGTGTTCATTAACTCAGGGTCAGAGAGGTTTATGGAAGGGGAATGACGAAACTGTCATTGAAGCCGTAAAGGAAGGCAAATCGGTACAAGACCAGGTTCCTGGGGTGGGGGTGGGGGTTAAACGGAGAACAAAAGCGCTCCGTTAAAACACAGATTTAATGTCCTATGGATTAGAAATTCTCTCAGATTAAAAAATAAATTTAGAAAACTAAATCCAGGCATGGTGGCACATGCCTGTAATTCCAGCCCTTGGGAGGTAGAGGAAGAGAGATCAAGAGTTCAAGGTCATCCTCAGTTACACGGTGAATTTGAGGCTGGCTCGGACTACCTGAGACTGTCTCAAAAATCCAAAAGAAGAAAGCAAAATTGATCAGTTAATGGGAACAACACTGGCAGCAGCAGTCACAGCAGGAGCATGCCCATCAATGAAGGAGTACATTTTTATATGTAACTTTTTTGTTGTTGTTGTTGTTTTGTTTTGTTTTTTTTGAGACAGAGTTTCTCTGTGTAGCTTTGGAGGCTGTCCTGGAACTCTCTGTAGACCAGGCTGGCCTCGAGCTCAGAGACCCATCTGCCTCTGCCTCCAGAGTGCTGGGATTAAAGGCGTGTGCCACTGCTGCCCGTTTTATATGTAACTTATTCACGTAGCCCTCATAATAAACACATGAGATATTTTCGCTTTGATAAAGAGATGAACAACCTCTAAGCTATGACTGGAACTCCCTTCCTAAGGATGAGCTAGTGGTTGCTTTGCACACACACACACACACACACACACACACACACACACACCCCACATCATATCTCCTAACCACTCACAGAACACAAGTCCCTTTGTCCCCATGTCCCTCACCCCAGTCTTGAAGTGCTGGCCAGGACCCACTGGCCCATGCCCCTTCCCAGACCTCACTCTAGCCTGATCGTCCCACCTACACTAGCTTTAACCTTTAGCTTTTAACTTTTCCAGCTAATCACTGCATGAAATCATCAGGACAAGCCAAGTCCAAGTTGAAATGTCTTCTCTTCCTCAGAGCTCTGGCCTCTTATACCCCAGAGCACTTGAACCTTTGAAAGCTATTTAACCCAAATATCATTGCTTGTAGTAGACTCATGGGAGCAGAAATTAACTTGGGTGTTTCTCACAGCACCAAGGGGAGATGTTAGTGCACAGGAAGCATCAAGGCTTCTCCAGGATGTGACTGACAGAGCTTATTGGGTGTGTAAATGAACAAAATACTATAGATATGCAGCATGATACTGCTCATTAGTTAGCTGTGACATTCCTTAAGGTAATGATCCGATAAAGCCAATGAATTAGCCAGAAGTGTAAATGTATATAAACCCACTAGTAACTAGCAATATGAATTATGTTGGATAACTCAGTGCTGCTCATTTTCCTTTACGTTTGCTTGATTTGGGTGTCACTCAGCTCTATGACTACTGTCCTAGCC